GGGGTAAGAACAGTATACTTGCAGCATGATAGTTTCCTATTTTTCTGATTAAAGCATTACAAATATAAATGAAAGGTGTCATTTTAAGCTACATGTATGGCATGAGTCTGAGTTACCCCCCCCCCAGCAAATTACTGGGTTATAATACACATACAGTATCCAATCTGAAGTAACTTGATTTATACATCTATACAATAATAAATGGAAATAATAAAATCTTGATGCTCAGGTTGTTGGGGAGTAAGAACAATCCAAAATCATTTGTTATATTTTATAATTAACAAAATAAAAGTTGCATATAGCAACAGAGCTTTTTGACATCTCATTCTATTTCTCTAATTCTTCTTTGATATTAAAGAATCAAACTGAATCCAATCCAATCCGAACAGAGCTGGAAGGGACCTTGGAGGTCTTCTAGTCCAAACCCCTGTTCAAGCAGGATATCCTATACCATTTCAGACAAATGACTGTCCAGTCTCTTCTTAAAAACCTCGAGTGATGAAGTACCCACAACTTTTGAGGGCAAGTTGTTCCACTGGTTAATTGTCCTCATTGTTAGGAAATTTCTCCTTGATTCCAGGTTGTTTTGCTCCTTGATTAGTTTCTATCCATTATTTCTTGTCCTGTCCTCTGGTACTTTGGAAAATAAATTGACCTCTCCTCTGTGGCAACCTCTCAAATACTGGAATACTGATATCATATCCCCCCTGGTCTTCCTTTTCTCTAGACTAGCCAAACCCAAATCCTGCAACCGTTCTTTATATGTTTTAGTTGTCAGGCCTTCAATCATCTTAGTTGCTCTTCTTTGCACTTTTTCCAAAGTCTCAACATCTTTTTTGTAATATGATCAAAACTGAATGCAGTATTCCAGGTGTGGCCTTACTAAGGCTTTACAAAGCGGTACAAATACTTAACACGATTTTGATTCTATGTCTCTGTTTATACAACCAAGTGTTGTATTAGGTCTTTTGGTGGCTGCTGCACATTGCTGGCTCATATAATTTTGGTGGCTTCATTTATTCTCCATGGAAACAAACTCAGGAGTTTACAGTTAATCTTAAGACTTACTGCACTAACAGGCCTGACTCTGCTCATATTTTAAAATATACAGAATGTCCCGTCCAAATAAATACTATACAGGCTTCGGGTAGCGGTGGACAAGAGGACGATCTTTCTAGCATACTAGGAATTCTATAAGAAAATAGTTTGGAAATCAGTTCGTATCAAAGACACAAGGTATCGGTTAAGGGCAGCCTAACTTTTCATGACTCTTGAAAGTATCATCTAAATGTTGATTCCCGGCATTTTTTTAAAAAAACCAATTGCCGCCTTAACGGCATTGAAAAAAATAATACTAAAAGGGCTTCCTTTCCCCCCACCTCCGAAGCATGCGCATTAGTGAAAGCAGTATCAATCAGGAAAGTGTGCAGGCGGAAGGATACGCGAAGCCTCTGCGATGAGGCTTGGAGGCTAGAGGGATATATATACGGAGGCTCCACCCCGCTGTGACTCATTCTGCTCCTGTCACAAATTTAGGATTTGAGATTTAGAGCGCCGGTGAGGCACGCGAGATCGAGGTCATGGCTTTCTAAGACTGCGTGGATCCCGGAGGAAAACTAGCGTGTATTGCACGCTGCAACAGAACAAGCAAGATGGAGTAAGTAATATGTTGGGATGCTGTCTCTATTCACCTTCTCCAGGCTCACTCTCGGAAAAGGGGTGGGAGTCACTTACGATGGCAGAAAGACTCTTGCAACCCGGGGGGCGGGGGAAATGGGGATAACCGAAGGAAAAGTAACGAAGCGGAGGCGACACGTTCAGGATGCTGAGATTTTCCAGATCTCTGTACAGAGCAGAATAGCAATGCTATGTTTCCTCTCCTCCCTGCCCCCCCTCCGTTTCCTAGCATGCTAAAACCTGTTTGTCTGCCCGCCCCTTTCCATCGGGGAGTACAGTAAGACATTCTGCTCTCTAGGGAAGGAAGCAGATGCGGCTTGCGTAACCCCACTGAGAAAAGCCGGGCCGCGAGCGGAGCCTTTGTGTGACCGCAGCGCTGTGACCGCAAACATGCGTGTCTACCCCTGCCAGTACACCCTCGAATCTTAAGGTCTTGGACCAAACCTCCATAAAACTTATGCTGGCTGAGGATTATGGGAGTTGAAGTCCAACACATGGGGGGGAGGGTTCCAATTCTTAGAAGTATGGTGCTTGCAGTACTGATGCAGGGAGCAAAGCTCATGGTCCCTGTTGCATGCTTTCCCTGGTATTTTGAAGAGTCGGCCGCCCTTAATTTGGCTAACATTTTGCTGGGCCTAATTGTAATTAGATACTTATTACATGTAGTCCTTGACTTACAACTTATTCATTTAGTGACCGTTCAAAGTTACAATGACACTGAAAAAAGTTACTTATGACTGATTCTCACACTTATCACCGCTGCAGCATCCCCATGGTCATGATCAAACTTCCGGCAACTGGCATTTATTTATGATGGTTGCAGGGTCCTGGGGTCATGGGATTGCCATCTATGACCTCTGACAACAGAAGTCAATGGGGAAAGCCAGATTTGCTTAATGACCACGTGATTCACTCAGCTGCACTGTTTCACTTAACTGTGGTAAAAAGATCATAACATGGGGCTTGACTCTCTTATCAACTGCCTTGCAACATAAAGTTTGAGCCTAATTGTAGTCATAAATCAAGGACTGCCTGTAGAGCGTATTGTCTCAGCCTAGTAAATGTATCCATAACGCCTGCCAACAGAGGCCTGTTCTACAAATCTTTTCACACAAGTTGATTGTACCACAGAACAAAGTGCTAAGATTTTTGCTACAGGTAAAACAAATTCTGTCTGATCTGTTCTACAAATAAAAATAAATCTTGACTAGTGATTTCATTGAGAAAATATTTCTATCGCTTTCCAGGTCCCCTTTTGCCACCACCACCACCACCACTATCCTTGCCTGCAGGAGCAGAGCCACGTCTTGCCTGCTACGTACACATCCTGCACTGAACCTGAGTGATCACCAATACAATGTCTCTGCTGGCAGCACTGACCCTGGACCTGGACCTGACCATGATCCCAGCTAGCACCATGTCCTGCAGGCCGGAGCTGCTCAAGCACCGGCTGCCCCATGCCGGTCACAGTGAGCTGCTACCCGGACCTGTGGATCAGGGCTTTGCCCTCGGCATGGAGCGCCCAGTGCTAACAGGTGACCAGTTTGAGAATAGAATAAATCCTAGAATTTGAGAAAATTGACATGTATAAAAGGCAAAGAATATTCTCTTTAGGGACATAAGATTAATACTAGTTTGCTAGGCTACTTTAATATAGTTGAGTGCTAACATTCTGAAAGGCCCCTCATAGTGTTGGGATGATAGTAAAGACTTAAAGATGAATCCATTTAGTTATCTGAGGCCTAATCTGCATGGTCAATTGATATCTTTTTTTCAATCTGGAACCAAGGGTAAGGATACACATTCAGATGATTAGGAGATGGCAGGAAAGAGTTAGCATCTTGAATTTTTTTGCTCTTATCTAGGGGATGTATAAATTTTTACAGGCCAAATTTGATAGTTAAGCAAGGAAAAAAATAGGGCTTTTAATAGTTTTTCAATATTCCTTCCCTTAGCTTCTTTCCCCATCACCAACACTTTGGCTTCTGTTTACCCCATATTATAATTTTGTTGTTCCTATACTAATTCAGATAATACATTTCTCTGAAATATTCCATACACACTGTAACAAGCTCTGTTCTGGTACATTTCTGAAAATGCACATGAACATTAAGTTTACTTTCTTGTTTGTTTAAGTTGTGATTTTGTCTGATTTTGCTTTGCTACTCCCCAGGCGATGGCTTCTCAGACTGGATGACGGAACGCACAGACCTGGCCACGCTCCTGAGTGTGTCAGGGGAGTCCTCGCCAGTCTCACTGCCCTCTCCTCCTGCTCCGGACCTGGAGGCCATGGCCTCACTGCTCAAAAAAGAGTTGGAGCAGATGGAGGATTATTTCTTGGAGGAAACTCTCTCACCTGATCAGGTAGCACCCAGCACCCCTCCCTCTGATGGGAATTTTCATTTTCCTTTTGGTGATGGCTTCCATTCACTGGACCACCACCACAGTATACCCGCACCCTTGCAAACCTTGGATTCACGTTGCTTAGAATTGTTGGAGCTCTATAGTGGGGAAACGCCTGCTGAGCTCCCCCTGCAGGGCAATGAATTATGTCCCTCAGTTCAGCAGTCACTTGTGCTAACGCCTAAAGGGGATCGACGCCAGAAGAAGAGAGATCAGAACAAGACAGCAGCCCTGCGGTACCGTCAGCGTAAACGAGCTGAACACGAAGCATTGGGGGATGAGTGCCAGGCCTTGGAGGCACGCAATCGCGATCTGCGAGAGAAAGCAGAATCTATTGAGAGAGAGATCCAGTACGTCAAGGATCTGCTCATTGAAGTATATAAGGCACGCAGTCAGCGCTTGCGTACCACCCCCTAGAGGCAAGGAGTCCTCCCTCTACCCTCATGAAAGGAAAAGTTCATGTGGGGGAGGGCAATGGAACAGTCTATATAGAACAGAACAAGCATGTTAGAAATTATGTTTGGGAAATTTTGGCACTTAGTAGCCTGCATTACCCTTTGGAGTAGGAGATAGCGTGTAATGCAAGACAGATGCAGAGTTGTAGAGAAAAGGAATGATATAGGAAGGAGAGAGTGAATCTAGTTTGAAAGAAATTGGTACTGCTGTTGTAGGAAAGAGCTAAGATTAGCCAGTTTGTGGCCACTACCGGGATTATCAGGGAAAGCTGTATTGGGATGGTGTCCTCCCCCCACCCCCAACCTAGACAACAGTCCTGAAGCTGTGTAATAGTTTTTTTATGTACACTTTATAGAATTTAAGCTATCTGTACCTAACTATGCACTAATAAACACTTATTTTAAACACTTGATCTGAGTCAAACTTATAGATGTCCCAGGAAGATGTCTCAAACCACATAAACAGGAATTTAAAAATATCAAGGTTTATTTATATACTATCACCAACTTAAATTTCATACAAGATCAAAGAAATTTCATTCAGCTGGGAAACAACTCTCAGAAACAAAAAGCTGTAACCAAAGTTGCCATTTTACTCTCTATCCCAAACTTTAATACACAGTTATGTTCAGTACTATGACCTCATGCCAAAAAACTTCAATTAGAAAAACTTTATTATTAGTAGAAATCATCTTTTTCCAGTGGTAGTTGATTTTGGATCTGCTGCTGTTTCCGATAAAGTTCAGCCACCTGTATCAAGAGAAAGGTGGCTAAGTATTTGTAATAAAAATTGTAGGGTGGTCTCTTGTCCTAAATTTGTAGTTTGCTTACCTGATTCTCTCTCTCTCCCTCCCTCCCCCCCCCTCTCTCATACACACAGTTTCTTTGTAGCTAAGAGAGTATCCTGAAATGATCCTTTCATGAGTCTGGGTCATATTAGTATATATAAAACTTCTATTTTACCATGAACCCCACCCCATACCAGGCCAATTTTTTCATTTAGAGAATTGAACAATGTGGGTAATCTGAAGCTCAATCCAAAAAGATGGAAATATTGTCCATGCCCACATTTGCCTCTTTTAGCACTTTCAGCAAAACACTTTATTAAAAAAAAAAAAAAGCCCTAACTTCAAAAATTACTTAGTCTGTCTTTTCATGATTACAGGTAATAATACAAAAGGACATGAATCCAACTTTGCATATAATTTATATATAGTTATCTTGCCATCTTTACCTGAGCACTGCTAGTGGCTTCCTCTGGTTTCTTATCATCTCGGATGCGCAGGAATCTGGGGAAACGTAAGGAGATGCCCTTTTCTTCATCCACCTGCATGGAATAATAAATTATCGTTGAAGTTTCATAAAGGCTATTTTCTTAAAGCCTCCTTTGAAGTAGTGTTTTTTGGGCAATGAAGAGAAATGGTTAATTGCTATGTCCCTTCCCCGTAATTTCTTTTGCTAGCAAAGATAACTAGATCTTTAACAATCCAATTACTATTTAATCCATCCACAAGGCTATAATTTCTGGGGGCAACTTTGGTCTCTCTCTCTCTCTCTCTCTCTCTCTCTCTCTCTCTCTCACACACACACACACACACACACACGCATTATATACTGAAGTAACCATATTCAAATATAAAAATTTATGTTAAGGCATTGGCTATAGTAGATAATATTTATTGTTTCAACTTTGCAAAACTTATTTATCTATGGCAGGGGTGTCAAACTGCCGGCCCATGGGCCAGACGCATCATCTGGGCGCCAGGTCCACGTCCCGATACGTTGTGCAACATCACATGACATCACGAGTTTGACATGTCTGATCTATGGCAAGACTGAAATATTATAATGTAATACATAGCCTGTAAATTTACATAATTTGGCATGTGTAACAGCAGAGGTGAGATGCTTATATGAGATCAGAAACACTTATAGATCATTTTCAAGGCATGCATAGTTCTACTATGATTTGTTAGAGGAGAAAAATCAGCAATACCAAAATGACTCTTCACTAGTTTCTGAAACAATGAGATCTGAACTCTCGTAGAAAGGCTCCGAGTTTATGATTTGTGCGAAGGGCTTAAAATCCACCAGATCTTATCAAATCCTTGAACATGCTTCTAGCATTAATAAAGTTACATCAGGTTAAGAGCAAATTCTAAAATTATTTCCCCATTACAGGTGGTCCTTGATTTATGATCATTCATTCAGTGATCAAAGTTGTGATAGAGCTGAACAAGCGGCACTTATGACTTGTCATTGAAGTTCTGGCCATTGCAGCATCTTCAGTCATGTGATCCCAACCTCCATGCTTGATGTCGACTTGCAATTATGACTGTGCTACAGTCTCATGATCATCATTTGTGGCCTTCACTGGCTTCCTACAAGCAAAACCAATAGGGAAGCTGGTAGGAGGTTGCAAATTGCAAATATATATATTTGCTTAATGGGGGGGGGGGGGGATTGGGATTTGCTTGATGGCAACCAGGAAGTGCTAGAATGGACATTGCTAAATGACATGGTCACATGATGTCACGTTTATGACTACCACTTAGTGCCCAATCTCAATTCCCATTGTAAACCGTTATTTAGTGTTTTATATTTCTTCTACCCAGTCATTCTTGTTGCTGACACAGCATTTGGAAATGTAGTATTTCACACTGAATATCAAAAACATACATAATTATGGTAATTTTACACATAAAATTTAAACTTAGAGATTATAGCCAGATCATCCACAATACAGTTCTCCTGCATTTCCTTCCAGTATAGATTACTGAACAGTTGTTGCTTATATTTAAATATGTGCATTACAAGTTAAACGTTTGTACTTTATATATAAAAGTAAAATAAATTGTTCCAGTCATTTCAACAGCTGAAGTTGTAGCCTTAGAAATTTTCCTAACAAAATGCTGAAAATGTGTTGAAATTGCTACAGAATACTGAACGAATACCCCCAGAGAACTGTGATCTCAAAATATTTCCTGAGTAATGATAGCCAATTAACAGTTTATACAGTATTTGCAATAAGTACAAATTACATTAAGTCCTTGCTATACATACATAGATGCCTTCCAATGTCACCCATCACTCACCAAACCTGATGCTGCTCTGTGAATGGGAGAAATGGATAAATCAGAACACTTCACTTCCCAAACATGCTGGGCTTCCAACCAGTGATCAGGTTCAGCTATTCCACCCCAACGATAGTATGGTCGTGGCTGTGGAATCACATAGTCCTGTAAGGCAGAAACTATGGTGAGTACTAAGAATATGTGACCTTCTTGAAACATTCTACCTCACATATAAAGTATACTTTTTGGCACAGAACTTGAAATACAGCCCAAATCCTCTGAACATCTTGTATGATAGGCCATTTTCAGTTCAAAATGGGCTATTTCAAACTCGGTATTGAGCTTTTTGTTTTGTAGTCCTACCTTGAGTGAGCTATGAAGTTTCTCTAAGACCTCATCTGAGAATCCCGTGCCAATCTGGGAAGGGATAAAGGGTAAGTGACAATTAGATACAAATAACTAAATGTCTATCATTTGTCTTGCGGGACAAGGAAACATGGTATGGAAAATGTAAAAGCTACCAATTTTATACTTCAGTTATTATTTACTGTGTATTTCCTTTGTAGTACTGGTAGTTTTCCCCTTCTTTATCCCAGTAAGATAAACTGTCATTACAGCAATCTCATTTTATAGATTCTAATTAGAATGTGCAGGGCCATTTTGGTCTAGTGGTTAGAAATACTAGGCTAAAAACTAGGACACCATGCATTCTAATCCTGCCTTAGCCACAAAACAAGCTGAGTAATTTTGACACTCTTGCTCAGCCCTAGGAAAAAGGCAACAGCAAATCACTTTTCAAAAACATAGTATCGTAGGTTTGGAAGGATCTTGGAAATCTTCCATTACAGCCTCCCCCCACACCCAATGGAGGAATTTTCAGACCACCCTGGACAAATGGCTGTTCAATTTTTTTCCTGAAAATCTCCAGTGATTGAGCACTAAATGTTGCCAAGAAAACTGCAAAGACTTGTCTGTGTGGTTGCCAGGAGTCAAGACTGACTCAAAGGTATACACAATCCTCTTCCCTCCATCACAATTAAGGTCAGGGCACCTGATGCTATTCAATACCAAAAATTTATAACCTTAAATCAATAATCAAAATGTCTTAAAAGTGTAGTCTAAAATTCTTACTTTGCAGATGCCCTGGAATTCTTCACTTTCCTCATCATAACATGCTAGGAGGAAACCTCCATACGTGCCTGCCCGTTTGCCCTTGCCCAAGTAGGCACCAATCACCACCAGGTCAAGGGTATCACCAACACCTTCCAGATAATCTTTTTTAAGCTGGTATGGGAAACAGGTATTAATGGAGTAAGTCAACTGCTGGACAGGGACTGAACCAACATCTAGACAGGTTTTTCTAGTACTGGAAGGCAAATGTTAAGTAGGGGAGAATAATTTGGAATAAAACTTTTATTATTTGCATTTCTTATTCCTGACCATTCTGGGCTCTTTTATTCAAACTAAGAAACAAGTAAAATGGCAAATAAAATACCACCCATCCTTGAACAAGAACATGGGCAATTTGGGGAAGGGTCACAAACTCCAATCCTGCCACAAGTCAGCACAGTTAAGCAATTGTATCACATAATTTAGAGCTAAGTAAGCATTCAGTTCTTACCTTCAGCCAATTGTGTGACCTCTTTGCAATTTCATATGTGGCATCTACTTCGAGTGTTTTCACCATTAACCCTTCACATGAGTCTGAGGAAGGCAAAACATTTTATTATCTTCTATAGCATGTTATTATCCAGTTTTACTATTCTAAAAAGTTTAGGGTTGAAATAAATGATTCACTTTTTTATTCTCACAGCTGCACTGACCCTAGCTTATCCATCTCTGAAAGAGATGGGCAATAAATCAAAAATAAATAAACAAATCCATAGAGGTACAAAGTTAAGATGGTAAACATCATTCTTCTAAATGTTAAGACTCTGCAATATTGGCTTTCATTTGATGCTCAACAGAAGGTTGAGTTTTATAAGAATAATACTAAAAGAAACACATGTATCAGCTACACAATACCTTTGATAGAGCATTCCAGAAATTCTGCTATCTCATCAACATCACTAGTATCCATGGAAGTGGCAAAAAGGAATTGGCCTTCAACCTCAGTGAAAGAATTATGCAGTAATGTCCGGCGCTGAGACAGAGGTTTCTGGACTAAAGACTAAAATACAAATAATTATACATTTAAAAAGAAGGCACCAAGCAGGGACTTCGAGAGTAAGGAAAATACAGACGTAATTACAAAAAGAATTGATGATGCAGAAAGACAGAATAAGAGGCAAGATTACTATAAAGCATCAACCATTCATTTTTATAGAAAAATATTTTTTATACTTACCGTTCCATTAAGGTAAAGCATGTCAAATGCATATATACAAACTTGCACTCGGATTTCTGCAGCGTCCACATCCTAGAGAACAATGCCACCATAAGGGAAAAGGAAGGCTAGGTATTTATACCACAGAATACTAATTAAAACATTTCTGGTCTAATTTTATTTGCATGATTTTTACATACCCTCAACTAATAGTTGTTAGAAGAAAAATATTTCTTCTCTATAGCTATTTTATTTTCAAAAATTAGACTTCCCAATATATGGTATCTTTCACCTCTCCTCCCCCCATTTATCCAAAAAGTAATCTGTTTCACTCGTTATGATATGCCCTAAAAAGATTGTAGCAGGCAGAATTAATTAACACATTCTAGAACCATCTAGTGATGTTTTACCTTGCGCTTGCGGGTGGTCAATACTTGGAATGGAAGGATATGTTTTGCAACAGGGTCCCAGGCCACTGCCTCTGCATCCAAAATGCATGATTTCACAGTGCTGTTTTTCACCTGCACAAGAATATAAGTTTAATACAACTGAATTTCTGCATGCTGTAAATTCTGAATCCTGTACCATTCTTTAAAGCATTCCTCCTGCAGGAGACCCACTGACTACTGAAATTGCTCTTGTACCAGCAAAATCATCTCCATGTTGCTCTCTTCTTGTTGTTACATTTCTAAAAGCAATCGCACCTTGGGAACACGGGTGACAATATCAGGGTACTTTGTTGTGTTGTTCTCTTGGTTTCGGCTATAAATATGTACTTCTCCATTCTCTAGAATGTGGATCTGTATGGAAAGAAAGAGTAGACTGAACAACAAATGGAAAGGAGAATAGAAGTTTCTCTTCTTTGTTCACACCAAATATTGTTACCTGTGCCCGCTCCCCATCATATTTGTATTCACAAGTGAAAGCTGCTTCTTCAAAACGCTTTAATACCTCCCCAATTCCTTTGGTTGGGTGAGCCAGCATGGGCTTCAGGGGAATCCCTGTTGGAGAAAAATACACAAAGTTGGGATTTGCAGTAACTGAATATCTGACTCATTGCACAGTAAAATCTAAGAGGACAGATAAGAGAAAGGTAGCAAACATGAAATGATTAAAGAGAAGAAAGTAATTGTAAGTATGTTGTAGAATATTCATTTTTATTAAATCCTTTTATTAACAATCTGTACTTTAAAATGCAAACACAACCATAAGGAACAGAATCTGTTTTCTTTTTAAGATGAAAATGCATAGTTTTTGAAAAGCTATAGCAAACGCACAGCACTGTATATATAAATTCCAATTTTGGAGAAGTGCTAGTTCTGTTTAAGGGATAGATTCCTGGTTTATCAAGTACCCATCTCCCACTAAAATAGTTTAAACATACCTGGAGTGATCTTGCAGTACTGAGGCAAGCTCTCCACACCATGCTCCAAAAGGACAGGTACTATGATGTCATAATTTGGTAGTTCACTGAAAACAAATAAATTAAAATTGCAGAGATCTGTGACTAGATTTGGCTAACTAAAAGATATAAATAATCTAAAGTTTGTAGTAGTTTTTGATTGTTCACAGTCCTAGACTATTAATTCACAAATGATTCAAGCTAATACTACACCTTTAATATTCTATAAGGTTCCATTAGGGCTTTTTTTGGCACTTTCCTGCCTTTTTCAAAAGTTCTAGAAAGCTCAGAGTGAGAACATAAGCCATTACAGGGGGAAAAAAAATCTGACAGCATTCCAGTTATGTCAGGTACAGCAGCTGGATCCACACATGAAAAGTTCATGTTGACTACTTTATTATGTGCTACTTAATCTCCCAGACTGCTTGCCTTCCCTTGGGAACAAACAGATAAGGTTCCATGGAACTTAGGAAGGGTTAAGCTTAAGTCATTTGCGGCTGCATAAGGACATAAGGCTAATTCTCCACTTGATCTCTCCTCTTAACTGGCTGGGTGTTTCCTAGCAATTATACAATCAAAACAAAAAGACAAAGAAAATGTATACATAAGTATATATTTACTGAATTAGGCAGAATACTACTTAGGAAGAGCACATGTGAATAAGTGAGAGAAAGTGAAAGCATAATTGCTCAGCTTTCCTTTTTTTATCTATTCACAAAAAGTTTCCTTTATTAGTGAAAAAACAAGAATGACATGATTGAAGCCAGATACACTTAGTAGCATTTACTGCTGTCTGGGACTTTACGTATTGCAGTTTATGAAAACTGATAGCTAGGGGCAATGGAAAGACATTATGACTAATTTATTAATACAAATAATATTCACCAGAAGGCCTGCTTAACAATCAAGGCCCTTTCATCCAGCCAAGCTTTGCGTGCATCTGCTGATTTGCCCTTTGCAGCATCCAAAACATCTGGGGGAAATTCTAGAAGGGGAAGAATATATGCATACCAACTTACATATTAATGATTGGATTCCTTTAGTTAGGATGTGCACATTTTGTATGCTTACTGTGAAAGTACAGAATATTTCATTGGGATTGACCATTAATTCAAAAAAATAATGCAATAGGGACTGGGAACTCTGTTGCTAAGTGGAGTGGTTGTTATGCACAATGTCACATGACTATACTGACTTATGATGTCAATTCCATTTGAAGTCCTTAAGTGAATCACCACAGGTCATTAAGCAGAACATCATGTCCCTGTCACTTGCTGCCCATTTCCTCACTGACTTTGCTTGTCAGAAGTTAGCTGTGAAGGTTACAACAACCATCATTTGATTGAAGGATGCTGTAACAATTGTTAATGTCCGCCGGTTCCCAAGCACCTGAATTGTAATCATGTGACTGAGGACCAATCATGAGTCTTTATTTATGGACTTTTAGAAATAAGAGTACTATTTTAATTTTTTGAAAGAGACTGAATATGCTCTCCATGCCCCTAAAATCATGTTGCAAGGTACTGCTACATTTGATTGTTAATGGCTAATTGTATTTTTTTGTTCTCTGACTGAAATCGTCAAATTCTGACTTATTTAACAATAATAAAAATAGCTTATGCCTTGATTCAATACAGAATACAAACTTCCTGTCCTATGGATGACACCAGCTTCCTAGATGGTTCTATATATATTCAACTCTTTTGCACTAGAATGCCAATCAGATATCCCTATGTACTGGACAGAACTCCTTAAATTTCCCTTCAGCCAGCAATAATGCTACTTCCCGTTTGCAAACAAAACTCACTTTGTCCTGGGGGAGTGAGTGATGCTGCCTGGGCAAGAGCTGAGAGGACAGACTGCTCTGCTAGCCCAATCCGTAACTTTCCTTCAAGGGACCTGCAATGCACAAAAAAAGTTATTACAATTCTGAAGAAGTTATATTGATGGCTGAAAGAGACTTTATATATGCGTAGCTTTGTGTTTGTTGGAAGCAAGAACACTGAGAAATAGAATGCTAAGAGATTGCCCCTAACCAATAAGTAATGTAGAAGAAATAACGATTGTAATAGAGTTTAGGAAATCAATGGAGATAATGCAAACTAAATATCAAGGCACATCATTTTAGAAATATAATGTGGATATATTGAAGTGAGACAAGGAGAACAACTGTACTACAAGTATAATTGCACTTACCGAGCCACATAACGAGCCTCTGAATGGCGACATGCAACAAACAAAGATTTGATAATGTCAATTTTCTTGTTCATAGACTGAGGAAAAAAGAAACAGAAATAAATTTTGAAACGTATAGGGGGTAGAAGAAAAGGAGGAAGGATAACTAGGCATAGTAACTTTTAGAAAATCTCATACCATATAATGATAGCAACCTCACAAAAAAGGCTCTTCCCATACATACATGATGAAACATTTCAGAAAATAGTTTTACAACCACCCTACTTTTTTTTGACAGATAGGCATAAAGACTGAAAATACATTTTTCTGGATGATGCTTTCAGAAACTCTATCTTCCTCCAAGCCAATATTCTATTAGACTGTTTTCAGAAATTATAACATCAAATATTTGTGCCAGATAAACATTAAAGTTAATATCATATATTACATTTAATCAATTGAACCCTTGCTATATCACCTAATAAATCAACACAGCCAGCTCTGTTCCAGAACTGTTAATATCCTCTCACTCATTACTTACAGAGCTTCCTGCCATATGACCAATTGCTTGCAGTTTGCCAAAGACAGCAGCAGCACTAAGTTTGGGTGGAGCAAACACAGTTCCTTGTGTTGTACGACTGTTTTCAGCAACTAAACCTAGATCTCCCTTCTCTGCTGCCTCTGCCTTGATTTGGTCCAATTGGCGACCTAGAGAGAAGACAAGACCATATAATCATGATTTTTTTTAAAAAAACAACAACCCTGAGACTAATTTATTATTAATTCTTAGTACCTTCATCTTTTCAGATAAGAATCAAAATGTTCATCTTTATTACAAGAGCATACTAGTGTTTGTTTTATTGGCAGCTATTGCCTAATGTTATTTCTCCTAGGAAGATTATAATTGGACAGACTCACCTGTGGCCTGGGCCAGAGCTCTCATGAGGATGGTTTTGCCAATGCCTAATTCTAGGCCCTCATATGCTGGGCCTAACTGATTGAGACAGAGATAGACACAGGGGAGCAGGTCTTGTGGAGATAGGACAATCGCAGAACGAAAGAGATTGCTTAGGGTCTCTATAATTTTCAACCTAGAAAGAAAGAGATGTATGATTTTTGAAGACAAGACTGAATGCTACAACTATCCTTATTCTGTAATTTGTAGCAAGGCATCTTACCGGGCAGATTCCTCCTCAATATATTCAAAAGTACGAGCCAAAGCCATGTATGGTATCCTATCAAAAGAATTAGGATAACAGCGACATTTAAAACTCTGAAACTGAAATGCATCATCCAGAAGTAGAACAAAGTGAACTTTCTTCTCTTTGCATATATTATATCTCCTGAATTTGCTAAAAAATAGCAATAAGTGAAAAAGAATGCCAAAATCTTAAAAAGGACCTCCTCTGTCTCAAAATTCAGTACTAAATTCCATCTATTTTGGTTTAATTGGACTTGCATATTGTGATGAGCTATGATTTTTTAAAATATTATGACTGTTAAATAAGGCACCATTTGGTGGGCTCAGACATATCATGTTAAGCCATAACAACTAATAATGCACATCAAATTATAAACTCTTGTGTTTTAGAAAAAATAGTAGCTTGATTATAATAATCCTATTCTAAACAAAAGCCAGTTTATATTAAATAAGTGTGAGATGATAACTATGACTGGAAGATGAGATACATTGTTCACACGTCTTAAATAAAAATCTTGGTTTAGGACATGAGGTAGTTAATATAGTAATTTAACATGATTCTATAATGAAGCTTACAACAAGACTGACTAATATGAAAACTGATAGGAAATGTCCACTGGTACTTGAATAATAGGAGATACATTTTTAAAAGAAGCAAGGTTTTGTAGTATAAAATCTAACTTCAGTGGCACTCACTTTTGGCCAGGGCCCCAGCAAGCATTATGAATAGGATGATAAGTGCTCTTTGTAGGATTGTATTCTGCAGGCTCAAGTGTAAATGATGGCTTGAGAAAACTGTAAAAGCAGGGGCAGAAAATACATAGTATGTAGTTATCCTACACAAAATGACCAATTCACATTTTTTAAGATTTAGGAGCCATAGTGGCGCAATGATTAGAATGCAGTATTGCAGGCTACCTCTGCCCATAGCAGGAGTTTGATCTTGACTGGGTCAAGGTTGATTCAGCCTTCGGAAATTGGTAAAACGAGGATCAAGATTGATAAATTTTCATACTTTCTTAAGGCCTGGAGAATCATTACAACTTTTTACAAATTGGTATTAAGGCTAATCTAAGTAGGAGCCAAATGTTTTCAAATGAAATACATTTTATAAAATCAAATCAGTAAACCTGCTAGCCACTGACATGAAGATGATTACAATAAGACAATCATCCCCACACCAGTAAAATCAGGCAGAAAAAAAGTTTTAAATACACATAAAAATCATGCATACCTTTTCTCTGCTTGTCAACACAGTAAAGATAATATTGGAGACTTTCTCTTACAATAATATTCAAATAAAGACAGATTGGGAAATCTTGGTTCAGCCAGAATAAGGCTATTTATATTTACTATATGGAAAAGTTCAATAGCTCTTATTTCAAAAATAGTATATGAACAATAAAACCATGCTGGGGAAGAGACCGTTTAACCTGGTTCATTACATTCCCATGTAAGCTGGGGGGGGGGTGGGGAGAATTAGAAAGGAAACTTTGGAGAACTGAGCTGCATTTTCAATTTTTTTTCTTTGTATGATGTAAAAGAATCTATAGAGGCCTGGTGCTGGGGTGCAAACAGAAGAAAATCTATGCATTCTTTTTTAAAAATATATATTTTATTGATTTTTTAACATAGTCACCTTAATATTTGGTAAACAGCGAGTTGTCTGGATTTACATTTAGAAACAATCCATAACAATTAATTTCTATAATTCCATAATCCACATAGTAGCTTTCTTTGATTTTCTCTTCTTCCAATAATATTCTGTTACCTTTAATTAGTACATTTCTTAATATTTTGATAGATAACAATTGAATATAAACATTTTTCTAGCATTTAACATCCATATCAATATAAAGCTTCTTTTCTAAGCGATCATCTTAATTACCTCGTCATAAATCCTGTTTTCAAAGTTCTTATTTAAATTTGTTTTCCCCGCAATGTTCAAAATAATCTTACCACTTAAGATTTTCTCAGAGTTAATTACTACACTTAAGTATTAAATCTTTTTCCTCATCCCAACAATTTTACATTTCTCATATCTTAAAAAAAAGAAAGAGAAGAAAAAAAGGAAATAATATACTACTTGAAAAACATGTCCCTCTTAAGCTAAAATACATTTATATTTCTATTCTTTTTAACCATATTCAAACAAATGTTTAATATTTAAATATTCCATCTAATAAATCCAATCATCTATTTTTTTAGTCTATTCAGAACATTCTTATCAATTGAGATTTTCTCAAGATCAATTACACTTAAATATCTAAAACATTTCCCTCAGATAAACCATCCCAACATTTTATATTTCTTATATCATAAAAAAATACTATGTTAATTGAGGGGCCCATCCCTCTTAAACTAAAATACATTTATATCTAGAATTTTTTTTATTTTTTAACCATATTCAAACAATTGTTTACTCTTAAAATATTCCATCTGATAAGTCCCATCATCCAATTTCTTAATTCTAACTGTAGCCTTTTTTTTTTTTGCCAAACATTTTTTCTAATCAGTATGCTCTGCTGGACCAAAAAGTCTTTCTATAGTCTTGTAGATGTTGTTGTAGGTACAAGAGACAAATCCAGTAAAATGTTTTTGTGGGAAAGTTTGGCCCGTTTGTATTCATTGAAAATCTTTTTTCTTTCTCTTTTAATTTCTTATTATTTTTTGTCTCTCAAATTCTCATAGTTCTCCTGACAGCTCTATACTCCATTTTGTCAAATCTTTTTTCTTGTCCTCAGACTTATTTTGCAATCTTGAAGTATAGGTTATCTTTTCCATGCCTGATATTTCCTGCAAGTTTTTCTCCGCCTGGGTTAAGTCATAATTCCTTCCATTGTTGGGTTCCATCTTTAAATCTCTTTCCTCTGGTTTATATTCACTTGTCTGCTTTATCTGATCTCTCTCTATTTTTTTATTTTCTGAGAATTTTTTGTGTGGAAAGGTTAAATTGAAGATATGTTCATTTATATTTTCAAAGTTGTTTTTAATTTTCTCATGGTTTGAAATCATTGTCGTTTGAATTAGTTGCAACATAGCATACATTTCCTTCGGGAAGGTATTTGTTTTTTCGTGATATGTTCTTTCTGGAGGTATCTGATGTTCCATGATAGCCAAAAATGAATGTTTTCCTTTCTCTGCAAACAGCTTTAGAGTCAAAATTCTATAAGTATTTATAATCCAGGAAGATCAATTCCCCACCCCTAAGGTTTATAGTTCTTGCCTTGTAAGTAGCCCAAAATGTTTTCTTTTTGTTGCAGCTGTTCTCTGCTTAGTTAAGACATTGAAGGTCACAAAAACAAGTTATCTTTTACTGGGCTTTCTGTCAATTTCTGTATTAGAACAACAGTTGTATATTTTCTTCCACCACTAGATGTCAGCACCAGTTTATTTTTTCAGTTTCCAAAACAAACAATTACTTTCTTCTGTTTTCATCAATAATCTTTTGAAAGGAAAATCTTAACAAATTCCACCTATTTCAAACTTATCCAGATTTAAATCTTATATTCATTTCATTTCAATATATTTCTGTCCCCCATAAAAGTTTAATTCGCCACTTCCTTCTATGGGAGGGTGGGGCAAGAGTTCCCCTCCTTTTCACTTTTGGAAGATTTTTGCTTCTTGGGTTTTTTCCCCCAGGAAATCAACTATCAAGTAGAAGAGAGAGAATCGGTATTCTTACCCAGTTTCAAACACGTTGTTTACGATCAAGCTTAAATTAGTGTTTTTTGGCTTTGGCTGCTTGTAGCTTGGGCTAGACTCTGGAGTGAAGCTAGCCTTTCTTCTGCTGGTTTCTGGAGGGCTTTCTCCGAACGACCGGATTGACCGCTGTCTCTCTGCGGTCGGCGGGGCTCCCCTCCTTTGTTGCCTATCCGGGACGACTTTAGGGTCCCCAACAAAAAAGAATCGGCCGTAGGGTGAGGAGCCCCGCAATCCCTCGGCTACTTGTGCTACTGCGCAAAACTGGAAGCCAAAAATCTATGCATTCTTATTTTGTAGGAAATTACACTTGATTCAGTTCTAGTCTTATTTTCATTTTATCTTCTTCTACACTAGAAATTGAGTTTCTGCAATATAAAGTCTCTCTATCTGACTATTTAGATACAGACGTTTTTCCACTATAGATATTCTATACACGGAGGATGTCAACCGAAGGGAAGGCTAGTGTGCTCTTCCCTATCTGCTTTGAAGAATTAAAAACTTCTCCAACTTTTCTGCCTGTTTCTGTCACTTTGCACCACTCAATATTCAATATTCAAGAGTATCTGCATCTATTACTGTATTCTTAAGAAATGTAAAGTAATATAATTCCCACATATCCTATCCACAGGTATCTAAACAATGAAGATTGTCATCCTTTCAGATAAATTTAGTATAATTAGAATGACTCAATGCTCTATCTTTAGCTGAATACAGAATCCAATGAAGCTAGAGCATTACTGGGTATCTTAACAATGCACAAATAATCAGGTTATATGAGAATGAGAACTGCTTGGAGCAAAAACTTCACAAGTTTTATTTTCATACTTTTTGATCAGTTTATGTGTATGTGTAGAGCTACCAGCTCTAAGGAATTAAACACAGTTGAAAAGGTTTTTAGATTACTGTAATTGTATTTATAAATAATAAATATTTATCATTTTCATAGTACTTATTTATGGATAAAACATTTTATACTTTGTTCCCTCTTTGTAACATTATCACTCACATTGGTTTTCCTTGAAATAACTTTCTGATTTGGTAAGAATTGTTAAATCCTTTCTGGACAAAAGGCTTGAAGTACTGTGATCTTCTGCTTACTATGTGACCTTATCCTTTGGAATATTGACTTAGTCCCAAGATAAATATGAAACAGAGCCCTCTTTGAAAAAACACACCAAATCACTTACTTGTCAGCCATGCTGTTGGACTCATCATTATTAACTTTATTAAGACACTTTGGTACTGCCATGTTTTCTGATACTACAGTTGTTTGCTTCTTTTCTATATTCACAGAACTTTTCTTGGGAGCTGAAAGTAAAAACATAACACAAAGATACTCCAGTAATTCTTGACTTAAGACCATTATTTTACCAACTATTTGAAATCATCATAATGTTCAAAAGTGACTTGCCACCAATCCTCACATTTACAATCTTTGCAGTGTCCTGTGATAATGTAATTGCTATCTGCAACTTTCCCAGCCAGCTTTGAGCAAGCAAAGACAATGGAGAAACTGGCTGGGAAGGTTGCAAACTACAGTCATGTGATGTATTGCTTAATGATTGCAACAACAGTCAAATCAAGACTTCGGGTTTGCCATCGTGGCCGCCGCGGATGCTGGAAGGCAAGCTCTGTCTTCCGCGTTCGATTTCATTCCGCTGGGGGACCCTGGAAAGGGTCGAAAGTCACCCTGTAGGGGCGACGAGCAAGGAGGGGACCCCCACTTGATTGCAGGAGGGCAGCAGCCCTTCCGCTTGATCCAGGGCAGCCCTCCAAACCGGCAGACGAAAGACTGGCCATAGTAATATTGCTCGTCACTAAGCTGCTGACAGCCGAAGTCAAACTTATCATCTAGCACTTCTAAAACAACACGAATGAAACTGGGTGAGATCTGATCTTCTCTTTAAGAACTTAAGTATCTTCTTTTCCTGTAAAAGCTGCCCGAAGTATTTTTCCCCCCTGTGAGGAGAGAGGGAAGGGAATTTCTACCCCACCTTCTAGGAACAGCGGTGACTGATTACCCGGGGGAGTTAAAGCAGTATAAGAACAATTTTAATCTAATTGGATTTATATATTTCTGAAATTTGGGACCAAATGTTTTCTTATTTTTACTGGAGACTTTTGTTTTTATCTACAAAAAAGAAATAAAACTGGAAAAAGGATTATAAAAATTTTGGACTTAAAAAACTTTAAACGGCATCGGTGACATCTTGTGCGAAGTATTACAACTTGTTATTGCCTAAAAGAGACTTGGCTTGAAGCCAAGACTTCAGATGAAACTCTTTCGACCTTGATAATACCACCTGTGAGAAATTCAGCTGTAAAGAGAATTTCTAGGCAGCATAATTGGCCTGTTTGAACTATGAATGTAAACCTTTACTGACTTTCAGAGTATATGTGGGGAATTGTTTTCCTATTTCTTTACATGAGAAACATTTATTACATGAGATGATGGAATACCTTGGACTATAAAATCTTACTTGACAAACGACTTCTGCTATAAAGACCACCTATAATACGTGAAATAGAGGTCCCATACCTCGTTATAAAATCATTTTTAATGTCTGATTTTAAAATCCTCAACTTAATACACTATTAAGAGAATATGGATGAAGACCAGGAAAAGATCCTTTCTGTGTTGAAAGCAATACATGAAACCATTCTTTCAGCTTGTGACAAAATAAGATGCAACATAAAAGAACAAGATGCCAGCTTAGATATACAAACCCAAATTTTGACTACAACCAAAGAATTAACAAAGCAGAAGATAACAGAAGTGGAACAATCAAATACTAAAACAGAGGACTCAAATTGACCAACAAATACAGTTAATGGAAAATCCAGAAAAGGGAGTGAGTGACAACGCTGAAAATGGAAAATACTTTTTATATAAATCAGAAGAAATTTGAGGAGGAAGAACAGATTGAATGGAAGATAAATATATCAGGACAATCATGGGAAATTGGAATAATAGATGATCTAATGAACACAAATGGGCTAACCCTTCCAAAAAAATGGCAACTAAATGGTCTCTCTTATTTCAAATAATATATATAATAATAGAGGGAGATCTATTTGATGATCTAAAAGCAGTGACATGGAAGGTAGTTGGCAAAGGAAGAAAGCCAGAATAAGGCTGAAGAAAATTGGGGTTTTGATTTATTAGAGGGGTTTTCATATTACTAATTAGAGGGTTAAAGGGAGAAGTTGAGATAAGGGGAATTTTGGTCATTTAATTTAAAATATTTGAATCAGTTGAAAATAAGATTCTATTTGTTTAATATTTAAAACGTAGACCTAAAAGAAAAAAATTATGAATGTTTGATTTATTGATTAACCCAGACAATATATATATAATGGTTTTGATTTATTGAAGGGGATACTGTATTATTAATTAGATGATTTAATAGATAACTTTTAGAAAATAGAACAAGACTATACTCAAATAGATAAGATGTGTATTTTGAATATTAGATTCTGTTATGAATTGAGATAAGGGAAACTTTGGTTACCTAAAGCCTGGAAATTATAAATATCAAATGTTAAATCTGAATATTGATGGGAAACTAAAAATTGAGAAAAAAAACCAATAACAGGACATTGTCTATAAAGATTGAACGTAAAAGTAATTAAGATATGTATAAGCTAAAAATTTATTGATAAATGTAATAAAGATGTTTTACTTAGTTGATATACTAAGAACTGTATTAGCTTAAATACGAGATAGTAGATATTAAGGGAAAAAGAGAGGAAATATCTAATGTTTTAACTTGAGATTTGTACTAAAGATTTTTGTATGTTATTGAATTATTGATTAACCCAGCCACCATGTTGCTTTTTAAATACTTAAATGTAAATTAGAAAACTAATAAAATACTAAGAACAAAAAGAAAGGTCATATCAAGATCAGATATAATCATGTGATGCCATACTTAATGACTGCACTACTTAATAATTTTTCTGGTTCCTATTATGGTCTTCAAGTCAGGGATAAAATCAAAATCATTAAACAGAATCTATTACCAGCTAAAAAAGTAGTCTTCCCCCTAAAATTATCAAAGGAAATAAGAATTGTGATAATCTCACTTATATGAAATGCTGGTTTGCGGGCATATTTTCTTTTTATGGCTAGTTGTTGACTTATGATTATTAATTTAACAATGGTTTGAAGTTATGATGGCCTCAGAAACTTAAATATCTCATACATTCGCCAACACTTATGTTATGTCCCAGTTGTGGTTGTAAGTCAAGGACTATCTATATTGTATGTTGTAGAATATTAGAAATAATCCTAATTTCTGCAAAGCATTTGTTAATATGGAATATACATTTTCAACTTTTCTAGATAGGTTCTAGATAAAGTACTCCTTTTTATTTCTTCAATATAATTTTTGAGATGTGACTAGGATTGTACAGAGTATTCTAAGTGCAATAACATCATAATTGTTTGAAAGTTATTATATTTTATTTGCAATTTCTTTACTAATTATCACCAACAGATTGTTTTCTTCCCATAGTAACTGGATACAATGCTGTTATTCAGCTATCCAATTATAATATCTTTCCTTATCAGTCACCACTAGTTCAGGCCCCTAGAGAAAGAATATGAAATTAGTTTTTCTCTTAATATGCCACTTTAATTCTATTATATCTCTTTTCTTATATACAACTATCTTCTTCTTCTGCACCCCTAAATTAAAAAAAAAGACAGGTTTATGGAGTTCTTTTTAAAAAATCATCCCAATAATGATAATCTTGGTTATTTCACTGGTCTTACTCCAATGCAGAAATGGTGGTACATCTCAAACATACCAAAAAAACTAGAAATGGACTTGCTGGATGGCTTAGAGGAATCTGAGATTTTTTTCTCCTTTGCATTTCTGTCTGTTTTATGCTGCACCAATTTTGCATTTTCACTTTTCACTTCTTCCACTTCCATGGGTTTCTCATTAGTTTTATCTTTAGAATCTAAATATAAAGCAGAAACCAAATGTTTAATATCATCTATAGAAAATTTAACTAAGTTTTAAAGCCTAACCCATTTCAACTCAAGTTTGCTTTGACTTGCTTTTTGATACACAAGATTGCAGCTATCTTGTGTGAACTTCTGTGAAACAAACATTTAGAGAACAATGTTTTGAACTTGAAAAGCCTACAGATCTGAAGACAGGGCAAATTGATATGAGCATTGGCAAACATGATTGGACTCTACACTATATTATTTTTTGTCAAAAAATATGTTGCAAATGAAAACCGTGGACCTAATTTGGAATGTAAAAAGGTATGGTGATTTTAATGATTGAGTCAAACTTAAACTATACTAACATAGAAGTAATTCAGAAAAATTTTACTTCTAAAAAACAACAACAAAGTTATATTCAGTATTTTGGACCAGTTTTCCTACTGTCTTGTCTGATAGCCACTTTCATTCCACTTTCATTCCATAGCAAGTCATTGAGTTATTCCAGTCCCCTTTTGATTCCCTCATATTAACCATTGTGTTCTAATAAACAGACAATAAGGGGCTCACCATCTCTATCAAGGTCTTCCTTCCATCGTTTGGTACTGCGGCTTTCATGGAAATTATAACTGTTGTCTTCTTCCTGTGGTTTACGTTTAGAGAGTTGCTTGCGGGCTAAAAGTAAATTTTATTTGCAGTTAAACTGGCACTACTTTCCCCAACAATTAGGAAACTTTTACTTCACTTAAAGCAAGTAAGAGATCATAGAGATTTGATATGCTGTATTTAATTAATATCAAAAATCCTGCCTATGTAATTTCTTTATCAAAAGTATGTCTTAACTTAAGCAGAAAAGATTTACAAAAGTGGGAAGATACAGATCAAGAAAATAGTTAAATGATAAAGGATATTTACAGAATGCCACACAAAACCTTGTTGTTCTAGATCAGGCATGTCAAACTGCTGGCCCGCAGGCCGGATGCATCATACTGAAACTGTGCCCACCCCATTGTCAGCAATGGGGAAAAAGTCACTATATGTTGCGCAATGTCGCGAGTTTGACATGCCTGTTCTAGATGGACAGTGTGGATTTCTTTTGCTTTTCTGATCTTCCTAGAAGTTTTGCTTTCTAGAACTTAATGCAAATGTTTCTAAGTAGCAAACACAGGAAGTTGGAAGAAGCAGGGAAGTAGGCCTCAATTCTGAATTGGGCTTTGTGTAAAAATGTTGAACTTAATTTAAAAAGTGAGCAAGGCAATGTTATCCTATTTTATTCAAAGGTTATTTGGGGTACTTAAGGAAGGAAATGATGCCTAATATCTCTGCTAGTAGTTTCTGGGGACAACAAAAGAAGTACTAGCAGATATTATTAAATAGTAGATTTATCAGTGCAAGGTACAATTAACATTCAAATGACAAGGAAACTTTTCCACATTTCTAAAAATTCAAAGGACTTTTCTCCATTATACTTAATAGATTAATTACTGGTTGAGGACTGGGATTTGGGAGGTTTCTATGAATCAATACAATTATGATTTTCTGAGAAACGGTTATATTTTCATAGGCAACCTTGGTTGTAGACTACATGCTAGGATAGTTTCAAGAAGTTAAGACTTCAATCTGCTTTCTTATGCCAGAGCTATCACAATGAAGCTGGTGAGGCTGCGTAGCACTGCTTGTTGACATTTCTAATACACCATACTTGATGAAATGAGGGGTCTATAATAAATGTCAGGCATTAAAACTAACCCTCTATCAAAATCAAATTGAGCCAAACTGATTTGATGGAGTCAGTCATTAAGGTTCCTTTCTCATCCAGCTTTCTGCAACTTGGATGGACTTCAGATTACTAAATTCCTCAAAAACATGAAAAGTTGTGGAAAGCTGTCTACTGTAAAACCAGAACTACTCTCTAAGTTCAAGACTTCCTAATTCTATTAGGACTGCACAATAGTCTTTTAAATAACAATGTTAGAATTAAAATACCTATAGAGCAAAGATATTGAAATGGTTTCTTGTACACAAACCTTTCTGAGTTGGATGATCAAGAGGATGAACTTACCAGTTTTGCGCCTTGGGATACTGAAAGATGTGATTGAATTGGTGGTAGTTGGGCTGGTACTTGGAGAGATGCTCGCTTCAGAGATCTTTTGCTCAGAAACACAGTCAGGGCTCTAAAAAGAGAGAATTACTAACTGACAAAGTATTGACAGAAAGAATAACCACAGACAATCATACATCTTGGATTGAACATTACAATAAAAGAGGAACAAATCAGTATTTATTATAACTTTTATGCTAGTCTGATAAGAACAATTTAACTTATATATGTGCTACAATTGAAATTAAATGACAAACCCAACTCCCAACAACTCTGGGCAATCACAAATAAAAATATGTTTTAAAAATAAAATCTGTATTTTTGAAAGATAAAATCAGAAAATCTGCATTAAGAGGTCAAAGAGTTCTTCATGGGTCAAATATTAGGATGTTATAGGAACTGACTTACCAACTTGTTGTCATCTGCTAGTGCATCCTTTCCATCTAATTCCACAGAATCTTCTTCATCATCACTCTTAAGGACCTTAGCAACTTTTTTTGATGCAGAATTCACTGGGAAGTCTTCACCGAGTTCTGGACCATTTATTAATTTCCTGAGAACAAAGTATTTAGCATTAATTACTGAACTACTAAATATACTATTTATTATTTATTGTATATATTGGTTAAAATTCAGTTGTAGAAAAGTACAGATTTTTCAGTAGCAAGGACTGTGAATTCAAAATCAGTATTCTTTGAAGATTTGGTAGAAGAATCATTTCAAGATTGCCTAAGATGATGAATAGACTTTGCAGCTTGGTGTATGAGTACATATCTCAAAGTAACTCACTTTTGTGAAATAAGCACATCTTCCATGTGGCTGTCTTCTGCTTTTTCTTTTTCAGACTTAATTCGTGCATCTTCCATGTGGCTGTCTTCTGCTTTTTCTTTTTCAGACTTAATTCGTGCATCTTCCATGTGGCTGTCTTCTGCTTTTTCTTTTTCAGACTTTATTCGTGCCAGAGGCTGGAAGAATGATCTGCTCAGACATAAATAAACATGGTTTACATATTCTTCCTCATTCTCAGGGCTGCAGAGTGCATAATAATTTTTACAAGAGACAGAATGATATCTTAGTTTCTGGCAGCTTTCCAGTTCAAAAAGCCAGAAGCTTCCATAATAAAGCAAGTACATACCGGTAGATAGCTTAAAACAGATAATGGGAAAGCATACCTAAATAAAAGGGCAGGATAAATATATATAATAGCAGTAGCAAATGCTGCCTCTGCAAAGAAGTTGAAGAAATGGTGAACCGCCCAGCAGCTGTAAGATCACATAAACTAACTAGAAACAATGGCATGACAAAATGGCAACAATGGTGTATTGGAATATCTTCAGGAAACACCATTTGCCTGCAAGCAAGAACTGGTAGGACCACAAAATAGGCAAAGTAATAGAAAATGAGGAGGCTAAAGTGCTCTGGGACTTTAGAATTGAAACAAACTAACACCTGCCACATAACAGCCCAGACTTAACTGTCAATAAGAAAGACAAAAAAGTCTGGATGGTGGACGCTGTAGTACAGAAGAAAAGAGATCAAACTGGAGAAAATCCCAAAATACAAAGACCAACAAATAGATGTAGAATGATTGTGGCAAAAGAAAACAAAGATAAAATGGATAGACAGAAACAATATTAAGAGGCAATTTGGGTTTAATCCCAAAACAATTGGAGCACCACTTGAACACCATCAACTCTTACAAAACCAATTGCAAAACAGTTTTAAATGGAACAGCTTACATTCTGTAATGATAATCAGACAAGATCTGCCTATCCCAGGTCCTTGGGAAGTATTTAATAGGTGGATAAAAATGCCAAATCCAGTCCAAAAATCAGTCCAAAAATCTGGCTGTGTGTGTATATATATATATATATATGAATGAATGATACACTTTCCTATGCCTGAAAACTGTTTGTTGTCTTATTTGGGGTTCTTTCTTGTAAGCCATTGGGTGGCATTGCTTGAGTTTATGGCCACATAAACTGTATAAACAAATCAATAAAGAAGTGTTGCTTGAAAACTTATTTGTTAAATATTTTAATTGCTGATATGTTCCTTTTACATATTTCAAGAAATTTGTTAGCACTTGTTCTTAAAATGGTAATGCTGTTCAGTCCAGAAAAATAATTTCATAGTCAAACACTTCACCCCGCAGTTTCAAATGTCTGTCTTGGACATCAGAAATGAAATTTTTCAATTTTCAATAAAGCAAACTTTATTTGCTTTTAGATGTCATGCTGTCACATACCTTATGTTGCTCTGCATTGTAGAGATCTGGATTTTTCCTTAGCTCACCAGTTCCACAAAATAGCTAGCATAAACAAGTTCATGGATTATCATATGTATTATATCCTATTTTCTCATAGGATACAGCTGAAAGAAAACAAGAGATGCAGATTGAATTTGAGCTGTGTAAAAATGTGACCTTTGGAATTCCAACAAGATGTAGTGATGGCAAACTTGGATGGCTTTAAAAGAAGACTGAATAAATTCATGAAAGGTGTGTCTATTGGAAGACCTGATGTTTCCTTTGGCTTCAGGATATCATGCCTCCATATACCACTTTCAAAAGAAAAAGAACAGGTCATTTCTCTCTCTGTTTACCTCAGAAGTCCCTTGTTTGTTAATGTGAAGAAAAAAACAATAGTGTAAGGTGGATCTTAGCTTGATTCAGCAGGGCTGTTCTTTGGTTCTCCTTTTAGAAGCATAATAGGACCTTTTCTGGGTTGATTTTAAGCCCATCAAACCCACCCCTGCTCAACACAGGCATACTTATAAAGATAGCTATTTAGCATCTGCTTGAATGCATATAATGGAACAAAAACTGCTATTTCTCTACTTCTGATTGGTTCCACTTCTAACATTTGAAAAATTTACTTTTCTCTAATTTATTGTTCTATGTCCTGCCTTTCAGATTTTGAAGAATGCTATCAATCTTCCTCTCAGGCACCTTTTCTCAGCTTCTTTAATCTCTCTCAATTATTATTCCCATTATTATACATAAAAATATTTAATGACTGGTAGCATACAATTATATATCAACAGTTTTATTTTTATTTTGTGGAAGTTGCCTGCAAAATCTTTTCAATGTTATTTCTCATTGGACAGGTCAAGTTTGAGCTGTTGCAGATCTCATCCATAAAATGGATAAACATATGACAGCATATTACAGCACTTGACAATGGGGAACAAGTAACTTTCTAGGGAGCAGTTTTTAAAGCAGGCAACATTTGTGAAACAAAAGCGCAATGAAGATGCTAAAATAGCATCTTTTGCAGGATTGCTTGAGTTGTAGAACAGAGAAGATAACCTTTATTGTCATTTTTTTTACTGTGGGCACAATGGCACACATCAAAAAATGAAATTTAGTTAATTTAATTTAAATTTTAAATCATGGTATTACAATTTGACATGCATGTCCACAGTTTTCTACATTCTTTCATCGAAACTGAAACAACAAAAATGTGGAGACAGGTAAGCTAGAATCCGGTAACTTGGTTCCTTCTATATGCTTTGTGTAAGATGTCAACATGCTGCTCTAGTTCAATTAAATTGGAGGTGTCATTTTATTTGGAGCATTAGTTAGTTATGTTCTAAGACAGTGTTTCTCAAAGTATAATTCTAAGTCCCCCAAGTCCTGTTAGGGGTCTGCAAAACGAAAATTATTTGCCAGCCTATGTTAAAAAAAATAACACAATGTTAAAATCTCATCAAATAATTGTGAAAATAATAGTGGCAATGAATGCATCAATTTTAATATTGAACATGGTAAAAATTGATAAATATAACCCATACAAACGAAACCTATTTTAGCATTCTCTATAACTATTCAAAGTGGGAAAGGGTGAGAGAGAAAAGTTTAAGACATACTGTTCTAAAAGATCAGTTGTAAAAAGGAATCACAGGCATTCAGATGAAAGAGGTTTTGGGGATGTGTCATTCAAATTTGATGGCATATTGGTTATGAAGGAGGTTATGATATTTAAGATGGCCTCAAGTATCAAATACTTTGAGTCAGAAGCTTTGTGCCAGTACCCTGGAAAATTCATTTCATCCTTTACCTGGATTGCTGCTGAGTTCTAGTCTATGATACCAATAATATCAGCACTAGCCTACTGCATAGTATGACACTAGATTCCTTCCTCCAAGAACCCAAGCAGTTATTATACTTCCTCCTAATTTCCTCCTCTAGAACAGCACTGCTGACAGCTAGGTTACATTTGTATTCTACTGTAGACTAAAAACTGCTATGATTACTGACACTAATCCTGTTGGAATTTAGTGAATGTAATAGAGACGTCTAAAATCTCTGGAACTATTAAAATTTAAATGCTTTTCTTCTGCATCAAACTATTTATAATATTTGCCATACTAGCAGATAAAAGTTAAAGGGGCTTTCTAAACCATTCTTCTATTCCATGTTAATATTTACACAATATTTACATAGCAAGCATGTGGAAATTACTATTGTCTAGCACAGTGTTTCTCAACCTTGACAATTTTAAGGCATGTGGACTTCAACTCCCAGAATTCCACAGCCAGCAATGCTGGCTGTCGAATTCTGGGAGTTGAAGTCCACATGCCTTAAAATTGTCAAGGTTGAGAAACACTGATCTAGCATTATATATGCAATAAATACACATTCATAGTTTTTCTTCCATTTTTAATAACTGCTGATCTGCAAGACAAATGATTGCATAAAGAGCCACTAGACTTTCTCATTCATTTAACACACATTTGGAAATATATATATATACAAAAGCAAGGGAAGAAATAAAATCCCACAGATCATACAGCAAGAAACTAAGTCTGAAAATGCCTTTTCGATGTTTTGCAATGCTGCTTCTCTCTTTTAACTCATCTTCATAAGACAAGCTGTTTTATATTGATTTGCTTTAAAAATATCACACTCCATATCTTTCTCATAAAATTTGCCACAGTAATTTATACAAGAGCATACAAATAGAATATTATAAAAAGGATCCTTGGGGACTAATATTTCCTTTTGAAAGGAATGGGTAGCTCTTTCTGTTATTTAGCTTGCCTCCATTTTCCCCCTCGTTCTGACCTATCCTGCAGCCACTATAGGGACAGAAGAGCCAATACATATAACAATATTCTAAAGTCTCGTTTATATTTAGAGGAAAAAAAGAGATAGGTGTATCTGTGTGTGTGGGTGGGGGGAAGTACTATCTACAAGAACAGTTAATAGGGGAGCTTTCCCACCACTTCCTTCCCTGAGATTTTCAGAGAGGAATCTCTCTCATCCCGTTCTATCCTGGACGCACAAATTATTCCCGCCAAAAGTATCCCCCCAGTCGCGCGAAAGCTCCCTCGGCAGCCCCGCAGCGGGGGCAAGCGTGCGCGCGCGCAAAGCGAAAAAGAGTTACCTGCCTCAGCTTCAATGTCTCTTCCTCACCTAGTAACATCCCGCCCATTTTCTTTTTCGCGCGAAAAAGCAAGCTAGCTATCGGCGGAAAAAAAACAACACCAGCGAGCCGACCCTGACGTCATAGGTCCTCGACGCCTTAGAAACTCCGTAAAATGTCCCTCGTTTTCTTTCGTCAACTTCCCCAAGCCTGCTGGGAAATGATATCCTGCTTGAAAAAATCTCGCTCATTTCTGTTACCAGAAAGAGTTTGAAGAACTACTGAGATTGCATTCAGAAAACGAAGGTCATGTTTGGGAGGAAGACGAGAGAGGGGAAAGAACGGGGTGTTGGAAAGCCTGATAGAAGTATCTATGACGATTCTCAGTCATAGTTGTCCCAAAGGTGGTTTTTCAGGAGGCAACTAGACTTTCTTATTTTTCTTTGAAGACGTTTCGCTTCTTATTCAAGAAGCTTCTTCGGAGCTGAAGAAGCTTATTGGACGAGAAACGAAACGTCTTCAAAGAAAACCAAGAAAGTCCAGTTGCCTCCTGAAAAAGCACCTGTGGGACGACCTGATAGAAGTGTTTGGCTCTCAGCCTTGGAAGTTCACAAAGCTTTGCCCTTTCTCATCCATTTCAATACTGCTGCACAGTGGTGATTTGTTTATTTAGCAAATGGCACACAATATCAGGGAAATCTACAAATGCTAAACACAATGCAATCCTGTCAGCCTAAATTGCTAGTTCAGTATGTCAGGTACTTGTGTGCCTATACTTAGTGCATCTCTGAGGCTAACTAGCTTACAACAGATGACCAGCGGTGCTGGGGTTCTTGGCTCTTCCAGGCTCCTCCGCTGGTCTCACCTCGTGTTATGTTGCTTTGTGTCTGGCTGGGGCCAGTGCCGGCTTCCACTCTGTGCACACACGAAGGCAGCTAGGTTTTTGCCATTGAAGTGGTACCCATTTATCTACTAGTGGAGAGAAATTGGCCCTTTAAATCAAAAGTCAATCCGAAAGGCCCTGAGGTTGGCGCGCCTGATCCCCAAGAGCCAGAAGGAAGAGAAAGGTTCTGCTGTGTTTTTTGGGGAAAAGTTTGGGGTGATTTCCGTGAGGGAGTTATCTGGGATGCCAGCTGAGGGAGTTACTTTAAGCAAGGTTGATGGTTATATTATTTGGAATCACATTGGGAGAGGGGGGGTAATATTGTGTGTGTAAAAAATTATTTTCCTTGGCACATTTTTAAAAAAGTTTGTTTTTCATTTCAGTCCTAACTGGTTGCCTTCTATCACTTGGCTGGGTTACAGACTCCTAAAGTCTTGTTTTTGTTTCCCTTAGGTGATTGACCAGACTCAAAGAATAGGGTATGGATTTCTGTTCAATCCTCTCCTGGTTCGCCAGAGGGTGGATGTGGAAAGAGGAAATCAGTTTATAGCGAAGGGATAGTGGCAGCAAAGAGACCTACTGTAATTTTCCAGTTGGTCTTTGCCCCAAAGTGCTATTACCTCAGCAGTGAAGGCCTTCAGAGATAGAGCCGGTTTGACCTGAATTTTCTTATGGGAACTGAAAATGCTCTAGCTATTGCTTGAGTTACTGAGGAAGGAAGCTTACAAATTATGTATTTCTACACATAAGAAGGACATAATTGTTTATAGGGACCTGGCTAACATGGAGTTTGGAAAGAGCACATTCTGTCCTTGACAGTACTTGAATGGGAGACCAGTTCCAAATACCAGGATTGGGAAGTTGGTGGCAAACATTACACACCATTGATAGGAACACTGCACAAAGCTGAGCTGACCTCAAAGGAGATTTACTCTATATACTCCAAGATCCTGAGGTCTGCAAAATCAGAATTATTTGCCAGGCTGTGTTGAAAAATAATATTAAAATCCCATCAGATAATCATGAGATTCTTGAGCACAGGTTCTCTACAGGGCTGCGTCGAAAGTCCGCTGCTGTTCACCCTGTTGTCCCATGACTGTTGTGCTAGATTTGCCATCAACCATATTGTGAAGTTTGTAGATGATACAACAGTAGTGGGCCTTATTCATGATGACAATGAGGGTGCTTACCACAAGGAGTTGAGTGTTTGGTGAACTGGTGAAAGGAAAACAGCCTAGTTTTAAATACTGGAAAAACCAAAGAGATCATTGTCGATTTCAGAAAAGGCAGGCACAGCCACACTTCTCTGTGCATTAATGATTCACCTGTGGAGATGGTTACCAGCATCAAATTCCTGGGTGTGCAGTTAGCAAGTAGGCTGGCTTGGTCGCTCAACAGCGAGACACTGGTGAAGCGGATACAGCAGCGCCTGCATTGTCTGCATCGCATAAGAAAAGCACATCTTCTTTCCCCTATCCTTACCACTTTCTACCGAGGGACGATCGAGAGCATCCTGTCATACAGCACCAAAGTCTGGTTTAGAAGCATCACTGCTTCAGACAGCAGTGTAAGGGTATAGGTCTATACATATGTTGTATGTACTATGTTTAAATGTGTGTTATATGTGTATACTTTGAGAGCAATCAACTAAATTTCATTTTTAATGTGTGCCATTGTGCCCACAATAAAAAATGACAATAAAGGTTATCTAATCTAAAGAAGTTGTAGCAGTAGTAAATGAAGGTGTACATGAAAAAGTCTTTATGGAAATCCTCCCATTCTTCACATTCAATATGAGTTTGTTTCTAATTTAAAGATCTTATGTATGCTACTTCTGATTACGACATAAACAGCTATGTTTGAAGAAAATGAAGATTTCTTGTTTTACCTCACTGTGATATTTTATCATTAAGTACCAAATCTGTAAATTCAATTAAGGATGATTTTGTACAATGTATTCTTAAGTCATTTTAGATAATACATCTAATAATCTTAAGGAGGGGGAAGTTTTTCAGTTTTTTGCACTTTCAAATTTTCTTGATTTCCATTCATTTGGGATAAGCTACCCCTGCTGGTTTGGATTCTTCTCTTGTTCATTCTTCTGAGTTATGCCCTACAACAGGGGTGTCAAACTCCCAATGTTACATGACGTGTCGTGACATATCATGACTTTTTTGCCATTGCCAGCAATGGGGTGGGCGTGGTTTTGCTATAATGCATCTGGCCCGCAGGCTGGCAGTTTGATACCCCTGCCCTACAACATCATAGCTTGTGTGTTACATGATCAGAATGAAATATAGCCATATATTACAGATTTAAATAGGGGAGATTAAATGGGACATCTGAGTTCCTTTTCATAAATTGTACATTTTTACATTTCTTGTGAAGTGATTCCCCCCCCCCCAGTTTGCTTTAAAGTTATTTTTAACTAGTAGCTAGAAATCAGATGGTACTTATATAAGGTGAAAAAATGTATATCAAATACATTTGGAAATGATGCCTCAGCATTACAAAATTAGTATCTACTAGCAACCATTCAGGGACAACATACTATTCTTGCGGAAAGCAAGCGTTTCTGTGAACTAATATATTTTGCTTATCCTAAAAGGAACCCAAAAGAAGAAAAATAATATAATAAATATGGGTATATTTTAATATGTACTGCATATAAAAATGAAGGAAATTTTAAAAATCATCAATAAGAACAGTTCCTTTGTTAGAAGCAAAAATTATGTTTCAGTTTACTGGAATTTTCATATAAATCTAATGCTGGAGAGGCACTACAGCTGTCAAGTCTAACTTTTGAAAATGTTCATGTGAAAGAATAACATTGTTGTTTCTCCACTTAAGTATGCACATTTGCACACATGAAATTCAGTACAAAAGCCCGTCACCTGGGTTCCCTTAAATTCAGCCCAGGAATCTCTGAACATTGAAAACAAATTCCTTCTGTATGGATGCTGCTAGCCTGAAAAAATCTGGTTCTCTCAGACCTATGATTTTTATATATTATTTACCTGTCTCTGCATATGAAACCCACTTTGAAATACAAATGTGTACATTTAATACATAATGCAGTAAATCAATATTTACACAAATGGTGGGGCATGGGTGAGGCATATACTAGAAAGGAAATGTATTCAGACAGGCATGTTTTTCTAAGCTCGACCAATCAGAGCTCCGAATCCTGGATCCCAGCCCCAACCGTTCCAGCTGCAGAGCGCCCTCCGCTGTCTTTAACCCAAAGACTTTATTCCTCTTTGTCGGATTCCGAACCATACGTGCCGGGCTGTCCTCCAACCCCTTCCAGGTATTTTGGATCTTTGCCTATCAAGGTTGCAGCTGAAAACAGGCACGAGCACGGGGGAATAAAACCCGGCATTCGGTCTGGCTCTTGCTGATTCCGGCCGAGCGAAGAGGCGAGCCGCGCGCTCCCCCTGCTGGAGCTTCCATTAGAACAATCGATTTAGATTAGAATGACGTCGCACGGCCAAAGTCGAAAAATTAATCTGAGGGATGCTGAAAGGAGACGATAACTGAAAGATGTTAGGCAGAAGGTTTTTGCAGTCTTAAGAGGTGACACGTGTAAAAGAGTATCTCTAGGCATGTGTAAAGACTCTGTCAGGAAGTTTGTCATCTCAGAGCATTGGTGAGACAAAGATGCAATTCCCTGTATAGTGGAACTGCATTTACACTCTTGCAGCATAAGAATTTGTTACTATTGTGTGCAAAAAGCAAGCTTTGAAAATTAGGAAGATACTTGAAGGACATAGTAGTTCCAAGCAGGCCAACTTGCAAGCACGTCTGTGGGCATGTGTCAAATATGGAGCAAGTCTTTACAGTTTGCACATGCTCAACAATGCTGTCACCTTCACAGCCTCAAGATAGCCAACCCCAGAACCATTATGTTATAGTAGTTATGGTATTGACCTATAAGCAAAGAAACCCAGATGCTAGTTCCCCTTAATCTACTAGATAACTTTGAGTTAATTGTGTTCTCTCAGACCAATCTATCTTGTAGGGTTGTGAAGAAAAACTTATATTTTACTGCAGTTATGCATACTTCTGAATACTAATCACACCTATTGTCAGGTCCAAAATAAACCCCCAAATCTACTAGGACTGGGACATTTCCAAAGTCATTTCATGGGATCAGCAGCAGTAGCTTGATCTTGTGTCAAACTGGGAACAAATATTTGTTGACAGCAAATGGAAGATGGTTAATACCACTCATGCCACTTGCAACCCCCATCCCTCACTGAGTCTAATATGTACTCAGATTATTTAGGTTGCCATAGCTTCTGTTTGAACTCAGTAGGAGTCTGACCCCTGATAGACCCAATACACTATGCATTTTGAAAGGAAATGGAATTTCAAGTATGATCCTTCATCTCTCCTGTTGTATGAATAGAAACTCACACAAGTGGCAGGATGAATTATTCTGCAAACAACTTATTCCCGCAGATGTAAATGTCTTTGAATGAGAACTGGTTTTTCACTGTCCCTATTCTGCTCTGCAGTTCACAGCTCAAGTACTGTTTTAATGTTGTGACATTTTTGCTAAATTAAGATATTATAAATTCCACATGAACACTTTCATATGCTGCTACATATATTGCTCCTAAGATCTGCTTTTTCAAAGGCATGTTCTTGAAAATAGTTTTTTCCATAATGTGCATATATCCATATTTTTATCCATGCTTTTATGAAAATTTCAGAATTTGCTTTACTGTTTAATTCTGATTTTTATGGAAGGGTGGGAGAGTTCCTTTAAATATTTATATTTCTTTCCATTCCTAAGTCTTTCTGAAAAGGAGACTGGGGACATAGGTTCATTAATGGCTGCTGAGCTGTAGAATTATTTCCAGCTGAGTTTTCAAGATCAGGTTGAGTTGTCTCAGGTAAAGCTGTATCTGAGAACTGCCATCTTTTGGTTCTGATTCAGTTGGAGGCCATCATTCATATACAATATGGATAGTTCAAACATGTACCTGGACTATAATGAAAGAGAAATTAAATCAGGCAATTCAGTGTCTTCAGGATCTAAAGGTAACTGCAGAGAATTTACATAACTCAGGACTGAAGTGTTGGGATTGTTGAGATCTCTTAACTTGGTTTATCAGTGGTAGATGTTTTATTACCCATCCAAATAACATCTTCAGTGCTATGATCTTTATATCAACTTTACCCCTCAGGACATATTTGAAAGAGCTGAAGATTTTTCATTCTAAATTCCTGAGTGGAAAACACTTGTGAGGACTTGAGGCCAACATTGATATCTTCCTGGCTATCTTTTAGTAAATGATCACAGTTTGCAGATAGCCCACAAGTGAAGTAGGTGACTCAGCTGTGCCATTGTTTAGCAAAGATGTCAAATAGGCTCATACTGAGCCTAGATACAAAAGCTAATATGGATGAAAAATAAAGCCACCTTGAGAGGGAGCACAGTTAACACCTGGCAATTCCATCACTACCATAAAACTGAGGAATCTATGAGTTCTATAGCCTTTTGGGGGAACTTAATTGTTGTAATTGAAATCAGTACCATACCAAGGAAGATATCTTGGAATTTCTAATTAAGGAGCAGCTCTTGACTGTCTTGCCAGAGGAAATGCAGAGATAGCTAGGGGAATACCATTCAGAAACATGTGAGAAGAATAGAAAGAATAGTTCCATGATGGGCAACTCAAAAGCCAAAAGCCTGGGAAGCACATCTAAGTTAGGAAGCACCCTCCCCCAAACTTTTGAGCTGTGAATAGTCCCATCATAGACCCAGACTAGGTCTTGTATAAACCTCACAGAAACTGGTTTGGAAACCGGGATGGAACATTAAGATTGTGGTTGCAAAGCATTGGCTTGTCATATTTAGCTAAAAAAATGGAAAGATAAAGTGAAGGAAGCATGCAAGGACAAAACTGATTTGTGTAGCACTGAGGAGAGAACTTTGTTTACAAATTGTAACAAAAAGGAATATATTCTGCTAAATTAAACCAATGGAACCTATACGGACAGGCTGTTTTGGGTTTCTGAGCAAAACTGAAAATCAATTAGTACAAGAAGAAATGGAAGAAAGCTACAGTATTAGTATTATTACCTCTATCAAATCAAACTATTATGATAATTGCATTTTATTCTGCAACGAATAAAGCAGAAATCTGTATAAATTATACAGATAAAGCATACCTGCACAAATTATTTTATTTTGCTTTACTTAGTTTAGCTTATTCCTGGTGAAGAGCACTGTAGCTCTGCTTTGGATCACTGAAATGTTTACCTAGCAAAGTCTCTGGTGTCCAACATTTTATCAGTAGTTTCCTACATACTTTGAATCCACAAAGGTTCTAGAAATGTTTGTGTTTATAAAGAAGATGAAATTCCCTGACAGTTAATTAGGAAATTAAATTATGGCATTCTTAAATAATTGAATTATGATAGTTATGATTTTGAGTTCTGGCTGTCTCATTCACAGATCTCTGCATGGAATTTCTCCCCTTTGGCTGCTCTTAAGTAGCATCAACTTGTAGGGCATATTCAAATAGTTTAGCATCTTAAATCTATTCTTTTTTTAAAAGGGGAAGAATACATAACCTGTTGAAAAAGTGTTGGGTGTTGTTACTTTAGGCTTATCTCTTTAGCAATTATCTTCTTTGGAGAGTCCTTAACAAGCCAATAGAGCTTTTAAGGACAAAAGAAGATTGTGGTATTATCATTCATGACCAACTTGTCAAGGATTATTTGGAAAATTGAAAAAGTGCCTAGGGTAGAGAAAATATTTTAAGTTCAAAATTCAGGGAAGAAATGGTGGTAGACCTATCTATTTAAATACTTAATTGGTCATTACATCATTTTTGTCTGGTGACCTTTGACAGTGAATATCGTGCAATCTAATTAAACTAAATCTTGTAGTGGAGAAAAATATTACTGTCATTTAATTGGATGCAATAATGGCCCATCAGCCATGATAAGGATTAGAGAGCATGCTAATACATGGCAAGCAGCTTCCATATTTTTTTCTTTCTTAGCCATTCCCTATTGCCTAATGGAGGCCAAAAGATTCTAATAATTTTAACCTAAATTAGAACTACCAGGTCTGGGAGCAAAAATCCAGAGGCAGCAAAAGTTAGAGATTTTTTTTTTGCTATCTATTAATCATCCAGATGTTTGCAGTCTGGATTTGGTATATTAACTGCTGGATCTTGTTGGAAAGTAATGGCTGGGTTCATAGAATAAGCTAACTTATTTTGTTTAGTTTTGATAATTTAATGAATCATCATGAAGCAAATCATGGCAACATGCAGTATTTATGAGAACTGCTATGGATTGACATGATGTTATACAGCTTCTTGCAAACCTCAGTAGGAATTTAAACCTGGGTCTTCTTTGACTCAATCCAAGACCCCAAATATCATACCATTCTGGCTCTGTCTTTAGATTAAATGATGTTATACTGATTTTTTTTATTTACTAGACTCTCTCTGTGTGTATTTATAAGGCTAGAAACTAGAAGATTGTGAATTCTATGAAGGAACCAATGTTAAACCACTTCTGAAAAAACCTTGTCTAAGGGACTTGTCTAAGCAGTCTCCAAGAAATGGACATAACTGATTGGAAGAAAAAAAAATACCACATTAATATTATTATAGAACTTTTTGCATTTTCAGGGAATCATATGTGATACTCATATCTATGATAAAGAGTCAGAATATAGAACTGAGTAAGATCACTTTTATAAACAACCAAAGTTTACAATAGAGTGGATGGCTTTTGAATTTTGTAGAATGTGCTTTTCAGTTCTGAGAATGTTAAAGCATGCATTTTTTGTGGTATGAATTTGCATTGTCTTCCCCACAGAGTAACATAGCTGCAATTGTTTATTTAGTTTAAGAGGCAATGATAGAATTATGAGGGCAGTGGTGTCTCAATATAGAATTTGGATTGCCAGGGGGCATGATGAATGTGGTCTGCTGATTTCTGGCAGCAGATTGGATGCAAGTGGTCTTTTCTACTCCAAGTATATAACAACAAAGAGCCATTTAAAAAAAAAACTAGCAAAAATCCATCTCTTTTCTAATCAGATGTGTTGAAATTACCATTCTCTAATTTCTAATCAGCATGGCAGTCTCATACATCTGGACTTTTAACAGCTTGGGACATGCAATATCTTAAAGATATACAGTAAATAAATTTCACTTTAATGGGATTTTAAAATGAAAAATGTTTAAAATAATTGGTGCATCAGTATTATATGTATTACTAAAAGATATATCCTATTATATTTAGATTGATTCCTAGGTATGTATATAGTTCATTGTGTATATGACAAATTTTGCAAGTCATTTTGGGTCTGGTGAAGTGTCTTATGAAATGTTCAGATCCACTGCCAGTGGTTTCATTTGGGTTACAAGCCAGAGCTTGCAGGTGATTCAGTGCCCAAAGTATTTCATATGGCTAATATATTCATAGCTTCGCTTGCTTTGAAGCACATTTTAAAAATCAAAACTATGGGTTTATTATAGCTATACTACAAACTAATAAAATTATCAACTTCCAGCTAAGTGAGAAATGAAGAACTATAAATTCTGATTACAACATTAAACTCCTTTTAATGTGCAAACTAGAAAAAAATAAAGCTTTAATAAAAAATTACAAAAACTTTTTTTCTCTTAAAAAACCTAACATTTACATGTGCAGCTATAACCATTGCAAAATTCCAAACATGCAGTTTTGGTATATCAACAGTGTTAGAGGGATTAAAATTGGTAGTGTTAGAAGACCCTGAAATACTTATGATGTGCTTGACAGGAATTTACAAACAGCCAGATGATGAAATGAGAAAACCTCTACTTATAACACACTCAATTGGATTTTTGTCTCATCTTCAAAACACAAGATTCCTCAGTTCTTACACAAATCACTTTTTAAAGTCACCATTTCAAAAGTTTGCCATGTGCTACTGAGAACTATAGTCTGACAAACACAAACTGCAAATTTCCTTGGAAATGAGGCTAGCTTCTCCAAGAGATGTAATTCAGATGAGTTAAATCAAATCCCTTGTAACTCTGACCAGGATGTCTGCTAAGTCAGGTAATTCTTTAGCTTTTATGTTGACTCTGGTAATTATTTTTGGAAAACAATTCTACTTTTAGGAAAACAAACATTCTAGGAGAAAAAGTTCTAATAGAAAAGTTCCAATGAACCCAAATATTATTGTGAATTTTACCATCCCTCATTGAGGCACTGTTAAAAAAAGGGAACACAGAAAAAATTGACAAATCAACAGAACAGTCCACACCTCTTATCACAGTTTCAAATACAGAATTTTCAAGTTCTCCACGAAAGAGGCACAGGATTCAAGGCCTTTAAGGTGGCATTCCATTACACATTATCTAGAAGTTTACCCAAATTTGTAAAAATCTGATACATAATTAATTAGCTAATATATGACTGGATAAGCATCTGTCCATATGATTTTTATGCAAGAACAAATAAAGACATTTTTGCACTTAAGAACATGACTGATCAACTTCAAAGCAAGATTTATTTATTTTTATTGTTTGGGACATTTGCAAAATTTATATTTATGAAATAAATTCTATATCCAATTTCAGAGCCTCAAGTATCTGAGCAGTTTAATTAAATAGATGCTCTTTAATTGAGTGTGCAAAACATTTTGAAATTAAACCATTCCATCCTTGAAATGTTCCATTCTGATATGAGAGCATTTCTTCTGAGAATACAAGAGATGGCCCAATCTTGAAACTCATTTAAAGATCAGACAGCTTTCAGTATATTCAGATATCAAAATGTACTGACCTGGAAGCATTTTGCACATTTCTATGGTCAATCACATTTTGATTTCTGAGGAGGGGTAGGGCTGAATTTCCACTAGCTTTGGCTGTGTGATTGTCTAGCTTTCTCTTTCTGACTGTTGTGTCAAGAAGAAAATATTCCTATTATCATTGAAGGTTAGAACTTTGTTGCTCTTCCCTCTTCCCTTCCCCTGGATGATTTTAGAAATTAACAACAAAACATTCAATATGTGAACTGAGCTACCGAAGGCATTTTTGCTTTGATCAATATTTAGGGTAACTGCCTTGTTCTCAGAAAATGGTTCTGGCTTCTAGAGGACTCCAGGGCACAGAACATTTCCCTGATTTAGAGTTATTTCCTAAAAACTTCTTTGCACGTTCAAGTCAGCTATACTGTTTCTCCCTAGGATTCAAGTCAGTTAAAGGATTCACCCATGTCCTGCACTGTCTGCTCCACACTGTGCTGTAGTTCCAAACTGCCTGTGCATTCACAACACCCAGCCTTTCGCTCTTGGCTCCCTTGCACTGAATTCCGCTTTGCATTTTTCCCACAAAGTGAACAACGGCTTGATTCTTCTCGCACATGGGTCCTCATGTGGTTCACCAGGTTGAATTTGTGCAAGAATCTTTTCCCACATTCGGTGCACTGATGGGGCTTGACCCCTGTGTGTACTCTCCGGTGTCTGGTGAGGGTGGATTTACGTGAGAAGTTCTTCCCACATTCGGGGCAAGGGAAAAGCGCTTCTTGTTTGTGCAAGGGCTGTTTTTTCAAAGCTAGCTGACTGTTGGGTGTCTGGTGAGCAAAGGGAGTTGCTTGCAAATTGGGAAGAAGGCGATTTCTCTGTCTTTTTGAACTTTCCTGTAACAGATACTCTTCCTCATTTTTAGTCTGTATTTCATCACCTGCTAGATTAAAAAAGAAAAAAAAGTTATTACTATTTCTGTAACTATACATTAGAGTTTCATAAGCTTCACTTTTGCAAGAAGACAAACACTTTAATTATTTAATTACAGACTGATATATGTATATATATATATGTGTGTGTGTGTGTGTGTGTGTGTGCGCGCGTGCATATATATATATGTGTGTGCGTGTGTGTATATATATATGTGTGTGCATGTGTGCGTATGTGTGTACGCACACACACACACACACACACACACACCATTGTAATTCCACAACAACTTTGCAAAATAAGATATGATAAAATAGAGTAGAAGACCAGAAGTTTATGGCTGAAGAGTTATTTGAACTTGGATCTCGTTAGTCCAGAGTGATTCTCTGGCCCAATTTGGTCCCTTCAGATACTCTGTTTCAATCCCATTATCTCTAACTAAATGACTATATTATCAGAATTGACCCAAGATACTTGGAGTCTCAAAAATCCTTACCTGCTGAGAAGGCATTCTCATTCAGCTCATCCTTATTTTCTCTGCAAAGCACCGTCTGCCGGGTATCTGAGACCACTTGCTCACTTTCTGGCAAATTCATAGACTCCTCAAGCATATATGGCCCTAGCACCTGAAACAGCAGTTAGACACCATTCAAGGCAAAGGAATACACCAAGCAGAGGGATACAGTATTGTCAGGGAAAGGTAGAATGTAAGTAGGAAAACAGCAACACATGAGAAACATTTTCAATCATCTTTAGTGTCTAGGGAAGCCAGTGGTGTAAGATAGATTCAAATGTGTGATTGTAATAGCTGTCAATCCAGGAAAAAACACTTTATATGTGCTGTCTTTAACTTTAATCTGGGACTCACTAAACCCTAACCCAGTGGTGGCGAACCTATGGCACGGGTGCCAGAGGCGGCACTCAGAGCCCTCTCTGTGGGCACCCGCGCTGCTGCCCCAGTCCTAGGCCTTCAGCTGGGTTTTATAAAACCTTTTCGCTTTAGGCCTCCACCGCCATGTGCCCCCCCCCCAAAAAAAGGTTCAATCAGTCAATTTCAACTTCTTGCAGGAAAAAAAAATCTTGCAAAGTTGGAATTGATTGATTGAACTTTTTAGTCCCACCCAGTCTGCTGTTACCACTGCAGCCACGCCCAGCCAATGGGCCACAACCACCCGGCACTCGACGATGCGTAAGTGGGTTTTGGGTTGCAGTTTGGGCACTCAGTCTCCAAAAGGTTCGCCATCACTGTCCTAACCAGACAAAGTCAATTCTTGGCTAGATGCTGGATGTCCCCAACTGCCACACCTTGCAAAATGTATGGAATCTTTTATTTCTGGTAGTTCAAAATTCACACTTGCTTGACATAAACTTGGATCTCTCCAAGAGTCTTCTGGTACTGTTTCTGTGAATTTTAATAGTGTATAAGGCTGCCTGCATCAGCTGATATTTATTTAAATCATTCAGGTTCTCTCAGAACGCTGCTCTGCTCTAAGATGGGAGACATTTTTTTGGGTGAAGGAGAGGGGTGTCAACATTTGTGTGGTTAAACAATGTAAGAGAACAAAGGCTCCCGTGTCGCTTCCTCACTTTCAAGTTGTTTTCTCTTTGTGAACAAACAGAAAATCTAAAAAGCAATAAGGACTCAATTTCAGCTCAGTGCAATGACTTTTCATGGATGGTTTCAGAAATCACTTTCATTATACTTTAAAGAATACTATATAAACAAAGGAAGCACCTTTTTAAACAATTAAAATTAACATAGTATTAAGCTTTTGGCACAGGACATTATTTTGACAGAGATGTTATCAGATAAACAATTGCCTGTGAAATAGGTGATCAAATGGCTTTTGTGGAACGTGACTGTTTCTATTATGTACATCAAAACTGACCCACATTTTGAGCTGCTTGTAGAGTCTATTTTTTAAAAAAAAAAATACACAAAAGAGGCAGTTTCTCCTCATGGGAGCTGGGCACTACTACATAAAATTGTAAAAAAAAAAAAAAAAGGAATGCTTCAGCAACAACCAGCTCCTGAAGGTAGGTAGGTAGTTTCCCCCCTCCCTCCATTCCTGGATACTACCATGAGTGTAGGCAGAAGCTGGTGCTTTTAAAAGTGATTTAAAACTCTAATTGCATGTTAGGACATAACTCCCAGGTTTCATGCTGGAAAGTGCTCACCTGTTGATCCCATCTCTCACTGTCTTGCTGCTTCAGAAGAAAATGTTCTGCCAAGGTTACTGCCTGAATGCAGGTCTTTGGATGATATTCCTGAACCCATTCCTGCATTTCCTCAGGCAAGACAGTCAGAAATTGTTCTAGGATCAACAACTCTACAATCTGTTCCTTGGTGCGGCTCTCTGGTTCCAGCCAGCGATGGCAGAGGCCCCGCAGACGAGAACAGACTTCACGGGGCCCTTCAGCCTCCTGGTAACGGAAATGCCTGAAATGCTGCCTCTGTCTTTCCAGACTGACAGCATCTTCTCGTAAGATTGCAGTTTTTACTTTCCCATAATCCCCACTTTCTCTGGGATCCAAGCTGTTGTAGGCCTGAAGAGCAGCTCCGTTGAGGGCTGGCACCAACCGAGTCACCCACTGTTCCCTTGGCCATTTGCAGGCCTCAGCCACATCCTCAAAAGTAGTCAAGTAGGTCTCAATGTCTTCTGTTAAGGTGAGTTCTGGTACTTGCAGATTCCTCCATGCAGGTGATTGGACTGGGGTAAGTTCTGGAGTTGGCAATTCTTGCCCTTGGATTTCCCAGCGTTGGGGTGCCTCTAGTCGTTCATTCCTGGTTTGCTGTGGTGTTACTAGCCGGAGACCTCCTCCTCCTGTTCCTACCGGTATAATACGATATGTTTTTATAGAGGCTTCTGACATTCCTAATGAATCAGAGCCTACTGGGTCGGGTTCTTTTTCCATTTTCACCAATGGTTGCACTCGTTGTTCGAATGGTGTCTGACACTGGAAGTACTGGGCTACCATATTCCGCTTTGCTGCTATTTTCCTCCTCATTCTTTGGATTTGGAGTTTATGTAGGCTTCTGCTGAAGCTTCCAATAACTGGTTTGCCAACTGGAGAGACTATCAAGTGGAGAAATTCCTCGAGTGGTTTGCGTCTCAAACTAGAGGGAGAGACAATGATACAACAAAGAGGAATATGAACACAGGTTTGTTTGTTTTTTTTTTTTAAAAAAAACAGTTACAATTGAACTACCTATTTTAATATGTTAATTGGGGACACTAATCCATAAAGATATTGCATGCTACCAGCACAAATCAGACTTGATTGGCCAATAGGATCTATAACTATAACTAACATTAAAAGAAAACTAGCTATGACTACAGAGGCAGGTTACAAAATATTATAAAGCTAATATTTGAAAAATAAATAACACATTTAATGTGCCTATTGCTGCTTCCAAGCTGACCAAGCTGCATTAAAAATTATTTAAACTAATTATTAGTAAAATAACTGTGTTATAGGACTTTTCTCTCAGATTAGCTAAACTGGAGAAAGCAATATATTTTGCTTAAAGTAATCTGTTCAGCTATTAAAACTGCAATCTTTTGTATATTTACTTGAATTCAGAAATACAGCTAGCCCTAGAAGACAGGAGACTGAATTTTAGTCCTGCCTTTGGCATGAAAGCCACACATGAAAGTGTGAATTTGGGCCAGTCACTCTCTCACCTGAACTGATCTCACAGGGTTATTGTTGGGAAAATAGGAGGAGAAAATAGTACTAGTTATGTTCGCTGCCTTGAGTTCCTTATAAAAAATAATAGAAGCAAGATAAATAAATTTCTTCCAGAAATATACACGACAAGGTTCATAGTTTTCTTCACATTGTAAACTTCACAAAACCTTTCCTTGACAAGCATCCTGAAATGCTTCAATTTGCAGTGATCTGGTCACACTTGTAATACACTGTATAAGAACTCAATTTTCCCTTTTAAATGATATCTCCATTTTATTAAATGTAATACTTTCTATGTTAATCTCAAGAACTGAACTAAGCATGACATGGAACAGAAAGAAGAAAGACAATTAATGAGGGAAGGGTAAAGTCTAAATTTGACTGGCATAAAGGACGGGAAAGGAATGGTTTAATTATTACTTTCATATGTTACTTTGCATAGTTTTATAATTCATGATTTGAGGCCAGCTCATTTATAATTGATCATAGTTTATGTTAAAGACTGTTATACCAGGCTGTGGGTTGGAAATTTTACATCCTCCAGCTATTTTGGCCTGGACCTTTCTAAAATTGATTATTCTAAGTTGTGATGATGGTCAAAATCTTGAATAGTTTAAAAGGGGGACCGAATACTTTCAGGTCTATCATCTAGAAAATTCAATGTTGTTTTTAGGGCAGCATGACTTCGAACAGCAACTGCAGGACAATATCTTGCTTCTGAGTATTATTGGACCATCTAGTTGTAATAAAAAAAATGCTGGACTAAGATGGGCCTTTGTCTTATCCAATGGGGTTATGGTGCCCAAGGTTGATGGAAATGATGGAAGTTGAAATCCAAAACATATAGAAACATTTCACATATTCAGCACCAAATAATATGAATATAAACTTCCAAATGCTTCCATCTACATGAAAAGAAATATTTCAGTTCTTATCAGATGTTGTGTTAAACCAGATTTTGTTATCTTGGCTTGTTGGAAATTTCTAATACAATGCAGAAAGGCTTAAGTGAAAGAGCCAAAAGTTACAGAAGATTATATATATATGACATTTAGAACAGTTGGTTCAAGCCACCATTTTAAGACTCTACAATGTCCCCCAGATTATGTCTGAGATTCAGAGAGGACTTGATCACTTTAAACATTTAAAGTCTTCAACAATCATAAAAATTAAAAAATGAAACCCAAGCCAAATGGTCCTTATTTGTCCCTAGCTCAGATTGGGCCTGCTTAACCAAATCTGGAACACTGAAGAAAATTATAAAATAGTCGGAAATAAACTTCCAGGCAAAGAAGTGTTGCCATTAAGGATTAACTAAAGAACTTACTAGAGGGCATTTTTCCAGCTTCCCTCTTCTAGATTCCTTATTTTTTTCTAAATAAAAGAAGATAACAGAAATACAAATTCATTCTCAAAATTATTCCAAATTGAAACAAGAGACTATGTACAGTATTGTCTTTGTCATTAGTTCAGCTCTGAATTCTACTGGCTGAATGATGCACTGGGCATTGAGCCAAGAAACACCAAAACTTTTTCAACATGTACCAAAAACTGTACACAGGAACTGACCAGATTTTTTTAGTGTGATAATTCAGTGGTATGAAATCATGGTAGAATTAACTATTATAAATTCTAACAATAAAAATTAGAAGATATATATTCATTTAACATATATAATGTAATCAATCATATTTAAACAAAAATACAGTAATAGTATTTTTTAGCTACCTCCATTAAAAATGTGCCAGTTTTATCTGTTATCCTGAGATCGTTGTTTAAAAAAGAAATGTCGGAGATGGCATTTTAAAAATATCAATCAGATATACTCCTTTTATAATATGTGACAATTGGAAGGAAGGTTTTCTGTTCAGGCTGACCAGCAAGACAGTTCCAAGAATTATGTGAAATCTCAATTTACAGATCATAAATGGCCATCAGTAGAAATGATACATTTCCTGTCACATTTACCAATTCTGTATAGATACTGTTCCCAAAATTGATTTCTGGTGAAAAGATTACACCACTAAGCAATCATCCCCACCATGTACAAGAAAAATCTAAGCATGCAATACTGGTCAAAAGTAAATTTAGGATTTATGAATGTATGTCTTGCTATCAATGAAGCAATCAACCCATCTTTCCAAATTTTTCTTGCTTGCTGGTTGGAGAAGGAAAGGATCAAAATCCTTAGAAAGCTGGAATACATCAGTGTCTAAGTAACTCTTAGAAGTATTCAAATTTCTTTAATAGGGATTTTAGACCACCATACCAATATTGAATTCTCTGCAAACAAATTCAGTGTTTCAAAAAGCAGTTTCGCTAACTGAGGGATAATCAAGATATTCATGGAATAAGATTTCTAACAATGTTTCAAATAGTCAAAAATATTTTCAAATGCAAATACAATGCCAGGATAGATAGGGAGGAAGGAAGAGAGAGAGAAAAAAGAAATCTTACTAGTTTTGAGTCTTCTACTCATCCAGCCTTGCCAACCAAAAACTGCAGATTCAGTCCAGCATGTGCCTGCTTGCCCACTCCAAATGCTTTACTTGATGTCAGTTTTTTACAACTTTCAGATTCCCCAAAGACTTAGTTGACTCCTGCCTTTGCAGCCCTCACTTTCTTGAACCTGTTATTCATGAATCCCACCCCCCATTTCAGAGCATGCTCAGATTAACAAAGTTGTGCAACTGACTGAGCCTCATTGCACCCATGTGGTTTCAACCCATTTTAGATTTCCCACAAACAGTGGGAAACTGTTAGTATGCATGCCATTGGTGTGCTTGCAAACAAAAGCCCAGCCCATAACAGAGCATTAACTTCACAAAAGCAAGCCATCAGCTATCCAGACTGCCTGGCTCCATCTTTTTCCAGAAGTCTGCCCAATAAACATCTTTATAAATATATGCACATCATTTTAATATGATGCATCATTCTATAGGCACAGAATCTAGTACCTCCATTTTTCAAAAATGTATAAGCTTGCAGTTGGATCCAACTGATCCGGTAAAAAGAATGTGCTCAGAAACTTTATAAATAACACTACAGAATATAATGTTCCTAGAGAGAGAGAAAGGATTGAAATTACTCTTCTCAATAGGGAAATAGGAAAAGCATTACTAGTTGATTTCAGGCTGTCATGAAGATTTGAAATGTCTCTTCACTAGAAGTTTTACTTTCACTGAAACTTATTTACTAGTAAAAGCTTTTAAGAGTGATGTCTATCTGAAGATAACATTAAAGACATTGTTACATTCATGTACAAACCATGGCTAACTGAACCATAATGAATTTAATCCAATTTTCCGGGTACAAATATCAAACTGATCACAGTGGCTGATTTCACACAACAGGCTGAAATGTGGTGGGCTAATTACTGTGCAAAACACAGTTGTTAACAGACTGTCCCAGATGACTCAAACAAATGGGGTCAAATAACTTGAGTCAAGGACAGGTTTAGATTTCAACGATAAAGCAATTTAGGATTAAGGCCCCTTTGGACAGAACTGATTCTACGGAAATGTGTTAATACATCCATAAAAGTTCTCTTGGCAACAGTACAGATGTGGTTCACCATTGTCTTCTTCTGGGATATTTTCTTAAGTAAATTCCCTCAAAATTAGATTAATAAAACATACAGAGGCCAAGCTGCCCTAACCTGATCTAGATATAAAACAATTAGGATACAAAAGATGCTAGGACTATCCTTTGGGGTGGAATGGAATATGAGTGTGTGGGAACGTGTGTGTTTGAGAAAGAGTGTCTTGGGATGGGGCAGTATATAAATTTGGGTAATAAATGTGTATCTTCCGCTGATGTAATAAAGCCATAACCCTAGATGCCCTTACAAAACCTACTGAAACAATACAGATTACTTCTATGTAGGCACTAGATATAATCTGCACTTTTTAAAATCAAAATAAATTAATCTGGCATTCAAAAATATGTTTTATTACAGCCCCTTGGATCTCCAGCCTTTAATCCCACTTATTTTACTTTTGCACCTCCATCCTGAGGAGCAAGGCTCGCTGCCTTCAAATAAGTTTAGTCCCCGGAAAATAACGCAGGTTATATTTGTCTAAGAGCCGGACTGAAGCAGCGATCTAGGAGGAGTATTATCTGCTCCGCCCATTGATTATTAGGAGGAAGATTAAAAAAAAAAAACCTGAACAGTAAAGAACTCCTGAACAATACTTCTGATCACTCCTGCCAAGATCCCCCTTTCCCTAATGTTAACAACTCTGACAAGGTCCTTCTCCCAACTCATCTTCCAAACCAACAATGGA